AGACTATTTATTTGTATTTATACTTGCCGGCTGATTGGGCATACAAGTTAGTTGCAAGTATGCAGTTTATTATAAGGCGGAATACAATTTAATTGAGATATAGTGGTTATAAGTTATTGAAATCAGTTAAGCCTATGTGTCATATTACTAAGTGATGTGGTGCTGCAGGATGTATTTAGCTAAATAAGTTTTTACAAGATGATTAATAGTGAGTGATGCTCATGTGATTATCAGGGAGAACATAAGTTGTAACCAGGGGGAGTACACTCCCAACTCATGTCTATGATAATGGCTTGAACCTTAGTCAGTGTTGGGGTAAATTCGACATTGATGTTTTCAGTTTGCAGGAGATTTGCTCGACTGCTTATACTGATTATTTGCATGCATGATTGTGTCGTTAAACCATCAATTAGACTGACAAGGTTTTGAGATATTTACTGAATGAGCAACTGATAGAGAAACATACTGTAATCATCTGTAGTGAATGAAGATACCAAGAAAACAACACCATTTAATGGTAATTATAAGTCAATTTGTTGACCGATTTCGTTACTAGTTTCATTAATTTTATCAGTCATATTACGTGATTGTCAAGTTATGACAATGCTTTATGACGATATCCTGAAACTATTAAATTTAACTAGTTATAGTGTTGATTAAGGATTAGTCAGTGGAAAAATAGGTATTGTTGCTTTAGGTGATTCAAAATCATCAGAAATTTATAACGTTAAAGAATCCGAGACGCCTAATTTAATTATAAATTTCAATTCAGAAATATTCGTTTAGTGTTCATTCTAGTAGACTACTGAGTTTTGATTTTAAACGTTTGTTTAGCCAACAGCTACTTGGGGATTTAGTTATTTCACTAGTGCAGTCGATAGTATCTAAATTTTTAATCTTATTATCTAAACTATGTTCGCATTTTAGGCTGCTAATATGATAAACCAATCCATAAACCCAAATACGATTAGCAACAACGACTATGATGGGTTTATTGATAAATGTTAAAGGCGATTCAGATGATTTTTAAATTTAGAAGACATGGAGATATAGTGTAACGTATGTACGGGCCAGGTTAACAAGCAGGTTGTTGACGTATATGACAATTAAAAAATAATGAACACGACCAGGCTGCTTATGAAACTTCAGGCAGGAATATGACGCGTTATAAGCCTTCCATAAGAAGTTACTGCATTTAGCTTAGTGACACTTACAAATATATGGCAAAAGCAACTGAAAAACATATACATGTTAAGTACGAAAAAAAATCATCCAGTAAAATAGTTGAACTCGCCTGGATTATTTTTGAAAATTTGATTATTCAGTGGACGACATTTATAACGCCATTCGTGAGGAGTAGTAATGATCCAAAAGCATCCAGAATAAAACATACAGTATGGCAATCACTTCCAGGGTGCTTGATGCTGTTGAGGTCTTTGGGACTCGCTCTGATCAGAACAACTGAATGAATCCAGATAACTGTGTGTGCCATCTAAAATGAACTTATGATTGCAGAAAACTTATAGCTGGAACTCACCGTATGTTTTTGGAGTAGTCGTCCTCGTTGTTTGGCAATGGAACTCGAGAATATGAAATTAGGCAGGCAGTGGTCGGAAGAAAAGATATTACAGGATAGTGCATCGTTTAAAACAGGATGAGGTGTTAAGTGAAGGAACACTGAGAATTAGATCCAGATAACTATTTACTCCTTGATCGCATTGTTAGTCAATGTATATTTACGCTATTTACAGGTCATATTTGCTAGAGCTTGATGTTTAAACAAGACTATGTCGCTGAAGCATGTAAATGCTATTACAGCTTGTTAACAAATCATCAGAGCTAATTAGTTAATATAGACGACCAGTTTTTATTATCGATTGAGCTAGTTTCTCATGAGGACTAATCAATATAACATTACGATAATGCATGTGAGCATTAATCAGAGGACTATTAGAATACAGGGTTAACATAAATATAAAATCGATCGAGAAAGTTGGAGTGGAAATAAGGATTAATAATAATAGATTGCGTTTCTTTAGTTGGGCTCACCAATGTGGAATTATGGTCTACTACGATATTAGTACTGCTCTAATAATAGACCTAATCCTAAATTTGTAGATTCGTCATGATATAACTGCCTAATCTATAAGATCTTACGTGGAAGTCACACCATCGACTACGCCAACTCACTGTATCGTATCAATTACCAATACATGATGAAGGACAAGGTTAACTTAGAGAAGGAACAATATATTTAATATGAATAGAGACCACGCCTGCATGGCCGAGCCATGCCACTCGATCAACTCCAGTCCATTCAATTCCTTGTTCGCGCCTTCTCCATTGTTAGGTATTTCTCCGCGTTAAATATTGAATATCTATTTTCTGAGTAGTCTCGTGTTCACAGCTTTGTGGATTGTGTGGCTATTGTCCAATGCCACTACACATCCATACATTCATGCTCACAACGAACTGTCAACAGGGATTATGCCAACATGAAAAGGCACTGCACATACGGTTACATTTTCTGGTAGAAACGAGATGACTCTCCAATACAGAAGACGCCACAGTCGATACAACTTAATTTGTAGACGCAGTTCTGTGTAGATATGAAAGGGATTTTTTCTTTTTAGCGAACTAAAGTATTTCGAAATGTGTTTGTTGTTTTGTAATATACGTTAATTCTGTGTTGTTTTTAAGATTCTCTGTTGTACTATGAAGGTATGGTAAAACTGCAGTACCAATGCATGACTTTTTATTCGAATCATTATTATAACGCATTGAACCATCCTGTTTTAACATACTTCTGATAATCTCCAGAGGAAAATTATTAGATTGTAAGATAATGATTGCATTCTTTCGTTCTTTTTGTTTGCCAAAAAGAATGAATAATAATAAATACTAATTGGAATATTACGAATAAATTATTTATTTATTTATAACAATTTACCCAATGCTCAATTTATTCGAAATTACCAAATCAAACCTTCGTATTGATACTTATTGACGTAGTAAGTTTTAAATCGCCTGTAGGTATGTGAGAAACCGAAATAATACGAACGAGTAAAACGCCATATAGGAAACTAAGTATCCTGCGGTGGGAGCAAATAAGTTCCTTAAATCAATTGTTTTACAGACGCTCAAGACTGATTTCGCTCCCCTTGATTTCAAGAATTATAGTGATCGAAGAATCTTGGTTAATCATTATCATGTAGTCACAGCACGGAACGGCGTAAAAATATTACCTCTTAAAGTTCTCAGTTTGGAAGTTTTCCTTTCCACACTTCTATATACTAGCGATTACATAAATCTCTCAACAATGGTGGGTTTCTACCTCGGGCTATCAGTTGTAAGTTAAGTTTAAAGTGAAAATGCTAATGATTATCCATCCGAATCCTTGGTGTTAAATGATATATTTGATGTTGAGATATAAACCCCATTCTGATTATATTAATTTGAACTACGGAAAACTTAGGCTACTGATAAAGACGTATTTTTCTGCATTCTTAAGACAGTTGATCGAAATCTCAATCAAAAGTCAAAATTCTGTAATTCGTTTCACAGTTGATGTAAGAAATCTGGATCTTGAGGTCATTTACTTTGTTTGATGGCATAGATGTCTAACGGAGGGAAGCTTCTTGACGTAAAAATACGTTGTATCCAGTAGATTGATCGAATCGATTGTTCCTTCCTTTTATTGCATGCAGAAAGTGTAGGATTCAACTTGTCCTGTAGACATAATACTAGGACCGTAAACGCGATACTGGCGAACCCAGAGTCTATGTGAAAGCCATAATTAGAACAAGGATAACTTGGCTTTAAACTCTGTCTGTTTCTAGCTGTAAAAACAGGTAAATTATTGTAATAATTAATGGAATAAAAGTCACTAATTGAAACACACAAACATACTGACCAGTATTGCATGTCTTACGAAATGAATAAAAATTATGAGTCAAGCTAATGTAATAGGATAATGATGTCTTTCAATTGGCAGGCCACATGCAACAGGGATACTTTACAGACACATCAGACTAGATCAACGTGGTGGGTGCTTGAACAACGATTTGATTTGTTAGTTATAGTTATAACTAACAGGAGGTTCTGTAATATTTTGAACACACAACAAACTATAGCACGCTAAAAGCGAAGTTAGACTGGAGATCTATCCTCCATCTTGATAAAATTTGAGGTGTAGAGCTTTCATGCTGGCAGTCACCCTTGTTTTTCATGTCGGAAAGGCCTGACTAATGGCTGTAGTAGATGTTCACTCAAATCGTGGAACCTAAACAAACACACCTTTCAACATTCAATACGCGATAACAGGAAATGTAATGTTTGCGCAAAATAAGTAACCAAATATTTCGATACCGGCAAAAGGTCTTCAACTAACTCTCAACTACTTGACTTATGCTAATACATCAGACTCATCTTCCCTTGAGTCAATTTAGTAAATAAAGTTACATCAGTCCGTTCGCAGCACGCTTATGAAGAACCACCATTTAGTGATTCATATTACTAGTTACATTGAAGATGGCACAGGTATCTGGGGTTTGAAAGTGCTTTAACCATTAACACCTAATATAAATCGTACTCACCAAGTGAAATAAAAAGACAGATAGAGGATGTTCGAAGATATATTTGATAGGCTATCAATATATCGTGGATCAACTGCTTTAATCTGGCTAGCGATTGCAGGGGATGTTGAGCACAGCGTTCCCACCCGTGATCTGGTGCAGATAGATGACCAAGCGCCTTCAGCTAGGCGAGTCCATTAAAACTAATGTGGTCGGGATCCAATGTCGAAGATTTACAGAGCTATTTATTTTGGGAATTTATTTACCACTACAACATATTTGATTGACTAGGTCATCCAAATGTTAATGGTAATGCCATGTCTTTCTGTCACAGGGCAGTACCTAAAAATGGAAGTTAAGTTCGGAAAGCTGATATTTAGTCCTTCTTGCTTGTCCTGACTTGTTTTATGGCTGTTGAATATTGATAAGTACTGGCGGTGTTTATGGTTTTATACGGTGTGGTTGTGACCTTTCTTTTGATGGTAGTCCTGATGATATTCTGTGACTAGTTGCTGGATATAACTTGTCTAGCTTGTATCCTGCTACTGTAGGAAATCTCAAACTGAAAATAAATAATTTTTGTATGAATGTAGGCATGGCCATGCAAATTGTTCAAGGTTTCGTGTGCTGTCTAGTTTGCCTTATTAAAATTCTTGGTAGTGATTAGCGAGGTATAAGTATCTTTACTCGCGCTCTTTAGGCCCACTTCCCCTCGTTTTTCATTATTCTGAGGTAACAGTCACCTCTAAGTGTCGGTTCCACAACTTATTGATAAGCTTCCAAGAATTTCTTATATAACTCATTTTTCATCTTTTTGAAGCCGAAATCAATGACAGTTTATATAGGCTTCAGACACTCATCGGAAATGTGGCTGAAAATATCGACTACAGAAGGTGTAACTGAGAATGCTGAAGACGTTTGACTGCTGTTTCATTCTACTGTTTGGTATAAGTTTCATCCCATGTATGTTTTTTCTTAGTATCCTAATGGCGACCTCAATATTCATGTTGCGTGGATATTTATGTTCAGATTACATAACAGTTACCCTTGTGCGTACTTATGGTGGCCACTAATAAAATGCTAGGGTCGCCCACATCATCAGAATTGATTACCTCAAGTGGTGTTCGTCAGGGCTGTCCACTCTCCCCATTCTTGTTCAACTTTGTCATTGACGTGCTTTTAGAGATAACACTCCCCTCATCTAAATTTCCAGGGGTTGAACTTCTACCAGGAGGTTCACTTGTTGACTTAGAATATGCAGATGACATAGTTTTATTTGGTGAAGACGCTGACAAAATGCAGAGTCTTCTGACCACTCTAAGCAACAATGCAAGCATGTTCGGGATGCGATTCTCTCCCTCGAAATGCAAAATGTTGCTTCAGGATTGGGTTACATCGACACCCGAACTAGTGATAGGGAGTGAAGTAGTTGAGTGTGTCGACCGCTTCACTTATCTTGGAAGTCTCATCAGCCCTTGTGGTCTGGTGTGTGACGAAATCTCAGCACGGATACAGAAGGCTCGACTAGCTTTTGCCAACTTGCGTCATTTATGGCGTAGGCGAGATATCCGTCTATCAACCAAAGGACGTGTTTACTGTGCAGCAGTTCGTTCCGTCCTACTTTATGGCAGTGAAACATGGCCGGTAAGAGTAGAGGATATCCGTAGGTTACTAGTATTTGATCATAGGTGTCTTCGAAATATTGCTCGTATATCCTGGGACTATCGAGTAAGTAATGCAGTTGTTAGGAAACGGGTACTAGGTAAGGATGGCAAATCAATTGATGACGTAGTGAAACTTCATCAGTTGAGATGGCTGGGACACATGTTACGTATGCCCAACGACCGACTGCCTCGACGTGCTATGTTCAGTGGTATAGGAGTAGGTTGGAAGAAAGCTAGGGGCGTCCAAACCAAAACATGGCACAAGTCCATGAAGTCACTGACAAGTGAACTGAGTCTTGTTGGTAGGTGTAGACTACCTGGTTGGGGACCGCGAGATGACAGCAACCGATGGTTAGAGACCCTGAATGACATGGCTCAAAATCGTTTGCAATGGCGCAGCTGCATTCACTTTTTGTGTTCTCCCAAATTCTAATCTTCTGAATTCTTCATGTCCCTTTTTTCCTCTTTCCAAATTTATTTCACTGGATTATACTCTTTAAATAACATCTCCAAACCCTAATCTTCCCGATTACTGCTTATACTCTTATTACATCTACCACTACGGGATTTGAATCGACAAGTGCATCTCTGTGCTAATGTGGTGTGGCAACTCGAACTGATGTACGTACGTACGAAGTTCTACGTTGTTACTGACTGACTGACTGACTGAATTTATATTTTGAACCGTTTTTATTCTTAATGTAGAATTTTGCATGTTGTTAATGAGTGATTTTTAATCGATATCCGGCTTTCAAATGACTGTTTTTAGGCTATTATTGATATAAGTTACCGAATCCTCTTTTAGTCTTAAACTGAACAATCTGGAACATTTCGTACAGCAATTCAAGTAGTTGGAATTGTATTCTTCAATTCTTTCGAATAACACAAACGTTTAAGACGAAATGAAGTTGGTTGGAAGTGCATTGTACATTGTTGGCTGACATGATTTGTTATTTGGTGCATTAACTACAATGTAGGAATTTAACTACCAGTTATATATATTTTCTCCTGTGTGACAAGTTCTTTTAACTGTGTGACTCCAATTACTTTACGTTTTCACTAAAACTTTGTACGAAATCGTTCAATGTATTTTGTTACCTCGGAGCCACAGAATATTACTGTTTTGGTTGGAATATTATCTAGGGTTTTCATCACGAACTGACATCAACTATAATGCCAAAACTATTTTACCAAAAGTTCGAGCCCTGTTATGTTATACCTCGTATATGTGCTTCAACGGAAAAATAATTGTCTCTTATATTGTCTTTATATTATTTAATTGAATGCTAAACTCTTTTTATTTAATTCAGGTGATATTCTTAGACTTCAAAGATGGCTTATGAGATCTCTGTTCCTGATGCGTATAGGTATAGAACGATTTTCGATCAACTTCAGCCAACCTATGGGAAATTATCTGGGGAAAAAATTAGAGAGGTTTGTGGAATTTTGTTTGCCGACTGCCATTAGTTTAGATTAATGTGATTCTGTTGAGCAACGTTTTTTAACCTAGTGAAATTATTGCTAATTATATTGATTACAGTCCTAAGAAAGCTGGGAAACTATCATCTATTGAATTGGTTGGAACGTCTGCAGTGCTTTAAGAATAGCTATTCTGTTATTTTTGGAAGTAATCCTTTTTTCTCCGAACGCTATTGACTCCATTTGTCTTCATTTATCTGCGTGAATTAATTTTTAAATTAAAGTGGCAAATACTCCGGCATATCTGGAATCACTTACAATGTCGAAGACAGGAGTTTGAACACCATTCATATACTTAAGTCTCAGTCCCTAGCTATCATACCCAGCTGTTGCGTAACGGATTTAAATCATAGTCTGGTACATGAATTAGCACTTCTTGTGGAAATACTAATTTATTCCACATTTCATTTATAATCAAGTATCAATTATCACTGATATCCTCTTAAAACATCTTGAAAATACAATGGTTCGCTCACGTCGGTCTGTACTCAAAGATTTAAAATTTCTTTCGCAGTTGCAAGAATAGCTGTTGTTATATGTAATACTTCCACAAGACATCGAACTTCTTTATTTTTAGTAATTTCCTTTCAAATGGGCATTAATCCATCAACGATTAGGTAGTTTGGTTCAACTAGTTAATTCAGTCTCCATAGGTACATCACCTAAAAAGGAATACTGCACTTCCGTAAAAGTAGAATGTGTGTGTGGATAGCGTGCATATTTCTTATCCTAGTGCTATAACCTTTTAACGTTTAAACAGTTTTATGATATTAAAAATCTATTCTAAACTAAAATTACTTAATTATTTGGCTATTCTAAACAGATGTTTCCGAACTACAACTGGCTACAATCAATGAAATAACGATAGTGATTAATTGAGAACAATTGATATGTTTTTACGCTGTTTCATTTATACACCGTCAAATACACAAAGGAATAAACTTATTGAGACCCGTGACTAAACTTTTTGTCATCAATATGCTATATATAGTTCCTGATTTGACCATTCGTTTTTTCCCAGGTATTTTTAAAGTTTCAGTTACCAGTTGAAACTCTTGGAAAAATATGGGACCTTTCAGATATTGATAATGATGGTAGTCTAGATCAGAGCGAGTTCATTGTTGTAAGTTTAAAGTGATATTCGTAACTTAGTTTTTCATGCCTATAATCGTTATACTAAATTTCAGTATAATTTTAATGCTGAGTGGTTATCTTAGGATTCTCGTCAGAATTTCACTGATTATTATTAGTTAGTGCTACTATGTCTGATATTTTCTTACGGTAGAGGAGTGTGTAATGACACTTATAGGTCTTAGTTCTCATTAAATAACTTTACTGGTTGGTTACTTAATGTCATCACTTTTATCGCCCCGGTGTGTTTTACTCGTGCCATTACTTATTTCAGTGGGTTCGTCTTCCCCAGCATAAGATTGTTTGAAAGGGTCCCGGGAACCCTTAAAACAAATGGTTTCCGCTTATGAAGTCATTGTTCTTTGGTGCAGGCCTTCTCAGAAAGCTCAGACTTCCTTATGTGTTACATAATTATATACTCTGAATTGTCCTCCAATCATTTAACTAGCATTTGCTGCAAAGTTGACCAATTTGATTCGCATCAGCTGAATTAATTTTTTTCTAGTCAGACAATTGTGTATTAAATACTTCTTAGGTTGTTGAAATAACATCTAGATAAAAGTATGTGAAATAAATCATCAACCATCCAGTCATAAACAATGTAAGAACCTGATGCAAATGAATATCGGCTCAAGTTGACGCATAAGTGACCAATCTTATTGAATGTGGACGGTAATTAACTGTATCTCATTCTCTTACCTTCATCATTTATTATTTGTCAGTTTGAATCTTTAGTGATTCAGTTGTATTTCTGGTATTCTACTATATTGTGTTCTAACCTTCACTTCCAGTCTGCAATTTGTATCAATACAGTCTGCGTTATTCATACCTCAATCCCAATTACTTAGTTTTAGTCACATAAGTCAATCGTTTGCAACGTAGAACCTTGTGAGTGTGTACATTGGTTCAAGTTCATATATCCTATCAGCACAGCGTGATAAAATTATCAGGCCAAATCCCGGAATAACGTAGCTAGTAACAGTATCAGTGATAATATAAAAATTACTCATCGAAGATACGATTCGAGAAGAAAATCTAAGTTGGTGAATTGAAAAAGATTATGAGGCATTCCGAAGCTTAGAACTGGGAGAAGACAAAGAATTGATGCACCTGTGTCATTACAAACGATTTTGAGCCATATCATTCTAAGTCTCCAACCACTGGTTACGAAAATCATGTGGGCTTCAACCAGGTATTTTACACCTGTTAACACACGAGTCAGTCCAATTGTCAGTGACTTCATGGAGTGATGCGGTGTTTTGGTTTGAACGTCCCTCGGATTCTTCCAGCTCACCCTTACACCAAACAACATCACCCGTCGAGGTAGGCAGTAGCTGGGTATATGTAACACATGTCCCAACCATCTCAGTTGATGAGAATTCGTTACCCCACCAACCGAATCGACATCTTTAACTTGTGCTCTATGACTAACCTAGGCATTGCTTACTTTGTGGTTCCAAAACGCGAACAGTGCTTCGAAGACAAGCGTGATTGAATACTAGTGCTATCCTTAATGAGTATACTTCACATCCATAAAGTGAAACGGAGCAAACTGGTGCACAGTAAACTCGTCCTTTGTTAGTAGATGAATATCTCTCCTACGCCACAGGTGATGCAAGTTGACAAATGCCGATCGAGATTTCTGAGTTTGTGCTGAAAGTTCTCCAGATACCAGAGCACCAGGACTGATGAGGCTCCCAAGATAAGTAAAGCGGTCGGTACGTCCAACTACTTCACTCCCTAACATTAATTCAGGCGCCGACACATGCCAATTCCAAAGCAACATTTTTCATTTGGAGGGAAAGAATCGAATTCCAAACATACTTGCCTTGTAGCTCAACGGGTTCATAAGCTTCCGGAATTTGCCATTCTCTTCACTAAATAGCAGTATATCATCTGCGTATTCTAAGTCAACAAGTGAATCCCCTGGTAGAAGATAAAAGTGTTATTTCTGAAATTATTTGTTTGACAGAGTTAAATAAAGATGAGGAGAGCGGAAAACTTTGGGGAACACCGCTTGAAATAATCAATTTAGGTAACAGTTCTCCATAAGCTTGAAATATTCGTGTGAAACTACACTTGTGGTGCGGGTTACTTATATTTATATAAGTAGTATATAAGGGTGGTCAGACATAGAATGTATTTCAGCAGAAGATCGATGAGGAAAGAACAGTAACGGAACGCAGTTGGTATGAAAACGCATGAACAATCAAATCTGAAACAATGGATTGATGTTTGCGACAAGAACGGTCAAGTTTGAGATGATGGATTGATATTTTGCAAATTAACGATTTACTATACGGTTCTCAGATTTTGTTGAGATGCTCTGTAGTTTTGTGCCCCAATACATTCCGTTGTCCTCACTCGTGTTCTTATTCACTACACACTGAGTATTGAAACGAGTTCGAATTTTTTTCAGGTTGTCAGGACACGGAAACCTTACTCCATACATCCTAAGTTTCTAGACACCTTTAAATCTGTACAATTGTGTTTAGGATAATACAGCTTTCTTTAATTCAATAAATATTTATTACGATTTTGATTGTAGGCTATGCATTTGGTCCATCAATCACTGGAGGGTAAAATATTACCGGACAAACTACCAAAGAATTTAGTTCCTCCTGACAAAGAACATTATTTTTCAAACTCTACGTCTATTAATAATTCCATGTTGTGTTTACCGCCTATTACTGGTGATGCTGATTTTAATTTGGCATTAGTCCCTGTGCAGTCTACATCAGAATTAAATCCAAAACAGAGTACTGGATATTTATCAGCGCTTGTATCCGTGAGTAATAAAATATTTCAATCTTCATTATTGATCCAGCTTAATGATTTCACTTATCATAAATATTAATTGATCCTTTTTTGATTTTACTCACTTAAATTTCTCTGCTTTTACTAGCATAAGGCAAACTGGTCCTGTAGTACTTTGAAACTTCGCTTTAATAATTCCGTCCGTAATATAGTACAGTGAATGCAGTTTACATTTCTACATATTACCCAGACTATTGTCTTATATAGCTGTTTTGTTCTTTTGCTGTCTAGTGTTCCCTGACCACGATGGTTCCAGTTAACTCCCCCCAAATCAACACCATGTAAGAAGAGACGATGCATATTCCAGCAAACCTGAACAGCAGACATACAGAATTAGAAACTTTAGACTATGTATATAATTTACGTAAGAATATACCATCGCGATTCAACCACTAGTACTAATTTTTTGGGAATGGATCAGTCAGTGTATTTCAATTTAAGTATGATCAGTACCTGTAATACTCAGGACCCTGTCATGTTAATAGTGATGACGTCAAACTGCTTAAACTCAAAGAATTCGTCGTTTTTATGTTAGTGACTGTTAGAAAAAAGTTCTAGTGACGAGTTCAAAATTTGATTGAAATTGAGTGGTTAGTTTATTTGATATATGGGTTGTTTAGCTTACTGGCCATTATATTGTAAGTTTTTGGACAATATAATCTCATTCACATTAGCTTATTTTTTTTTCAAACTGTTGCTAATAAAGTTTATGTCAAACACAGTGTTTGAGCTCCTCAACTCTTACTTCTAACCTGTCAACGAGAACTGTTTCCTTGAGCCTATATCGTGGTGGGATTAGGATGATCGAAGGAAATTTAGTTCACATTTGACACTCAGTATATCTAATACTGAGAAATCGATTTTTCCGTATTTTTAATTAAAATTTGAAGAATAAACGGGGTTAGGACTATCAGTTACTTCTCGACAAATCGTAAACTAACCATCGTAAAGTACCAGAGTGGATATGTAACTATTTATCTCCTTAATCTCAAAATAATTCGTGGAACTAAGTACTGCTCTTTATTTTGACCACTAGTCTATAAAATAATCTTTTAGATTTAAAAGTTGGGGACAGTGGCGGTCGTTTGAATCCCAATCGCCTAGAGGAACCGCTAGTCTGCAATTAGACTTCTAAAGTAGGATGTTTGTGATTAAGTTGTTTTTGGTGGAGTTTTGTTCTCTGAGCTAGATGGTTTGGTCGTGGAGCTTTCATCGTTCTTCTGAACGACATCATCACCACAAACTTCAGATAGAAGTGAAGTGTTTGAATTTTTCCATATATGTTTCAAAGCTTGTTCCGCGCACCTCAATGTTGATTGGTCCTTATTGACCTTAAATTTGTCATTGTTTACTTCTTTGTTTTGGTTGTGTCTCCCATTGGTTTGATTTTTGTTCTTATGTTTGTGCATGATTTTTCTGATTGGTTGATAAATTGGATTGATTTCAATATGCTTGTTGATTGACCTGAGTGCCAGCTTTCTAGAAATTCTCTGGTGTTTTTGGAGTTTCCTCTGTCTAAGATTTCCACATTTTTCCAATCGAATGAGTGTCCGCAGTTGTCCACGTGTATTGATATAAGTGGGGAAGTATCACGGCGTTTGACTGCTAATTGAGGTCCATGTAGGCGAAGGTGAAGGGGGCGTCCGGTTTGTCCAATGTAGTGTTTTTCGCAGTTGGCACAATTTATTTTGTAGATGATGTTTGATTTGTCTTCCTTTTTATTTCATCCTATGGTTTGCATAGGATTGATTGTAGTGATTTTTTCGGTTTATGTGCCACACCTATCCCGAAGGTTTTCAGCAGTCTCGTTGCGGTTTCTGATATTCCTTGTATATATGGTAGGGTGATCCTTCTGTTGATTTTTGTGCTTGACTTGAGTTCTAATGCTGCGTGCGGTTGGTATTTTTTGATGAAGTTTATTGGGTAGCCGTTCTTCTGAAATACATCCTTCAGGTATTTCTTTTCATTTCTTCGTGCTGCCAGTGTGCTGCACTGTGTCCTCACCCTCTTGGACAAATTGTGTACGCAGTTGATTTTGTGAGCTTTTGGGTTGTTGCTATTGTAGTTGAGAATTTGATCTGTATGGGTCGGTTTCCTATATACTTGAGTTTCCAGTTTTTCTGTGTCGGTTCTAGTGATCAATATATCTAAGAATGCTAGTTTGTTGTTTGACTCCTGTTCCATGGTGAACTTAATGTCATCGAAGACATTGTTGATCAGTTTGTAAGTGTTTTCTAGTTCATTCTTTTTGACGATGATGGTGTCGTCTACATAGCGAATCCAAACTTTTGGTTTGATCACTGGTAATATCGCGGCTTCTAGTCTTTGCACCTCTGCCTCTGTGATCAATCCTGATATTGGTGATCCCATTGGTGTTCCTTTCGTTTGTTCGTAGATTTTGTTGTTAAGCTGTGTCGATCAGTTACTGAGATTGTATATTTAGTGTTTATTTTATCTATTTATTTGAATATATAAATATTAGTACAAAGGCACACCGAACACGTATGCGCCACACAAGTCAGTTGATTTGTGTGTGGGTTGTAATACTGTTCGGGTGCCTAGACCGAAGCAGGTTGTTTTCTTAGGGGGTCACATCCAGAGCCTTCGACTTACAGGTCTGATCCATAAGGCAGTTGAGCAACGTAAGTAGATGCAGTCCCATGGTAGTCAGTGACCAACGATTGGTTCATACGCCATTTGTTCCTTTAAGATCCTGGAGCATATGTGCACCATTGGTATGAAATCAGGGTTTTCCAACCCCCTTAGGTGGACCCTCTGTTTCCACCAACCCGGTTAAGGCGCCGAACATTCGCTTTCCGTCCTCTCAACTTCGTAAACAAGACATTCACCGCAAGAAGTCAGTCACTAGGAATTCTCTGGTAGTGGCTGTAAACGCGTTGATATGTGAGAGGATGTCGAGAGGGAGAGCTGACTCCCCACTCTCGGCCATACCCAGGGCATTTGGGGGCTATACTCAGTGTATTTCCTATGATACGTGTACAGCATTTATTTTTAGTTAAAGCAAAAATAAACCCATCTACAAACGGAAACATGAATAAAAATCTGTAAAGCCATTGGTTATCAGTCTGCACTTGCATGGGAGAGATTTTCAGTGATCAGTGATACGGAATTATCGGCTTTTAGATAAAATGCTAATCGATAAATGGTAACGAGTGACACTAAGTGTGCCGCGTTATGGCTGCTTACAAGAACTGATTATTGATGTAGGCAACACCACTGGCCAGATGAGATTTTTATGTAATAAAATAAAATGCTTATTTACAGATTATAAAAACAGAAAAAAAACATGATAAAATATCAAAGGTGATGAAAAGGAATTAGCTCGTAGGTCTCATTCTGCAATCAAATAGGACATCACTGTTAGGCCTGGGCATCGTATCAAAATAATTTATCACTTCGAATTAACTTGGCTCTCTGTAGATATTCTGGTGTTAGATTATTATTATTATTATTATTATTATTATTATTATTATTATTATTATTATTATTATTATTATTATTATTATTAATGGTTTTATGCAATACAGTGGTCGTCTTAATCGTGATGATTTCATCAAGTACACATTTGCTCCCCCCACCGATTTATTTATCCAGAAAAACTTTATTCTCATTGTAACGTAGTTATACCTAAATTTCTACTCGTTTTGTTGTGACTAACTGTTTCAAAAGGTACCTAGTCGTTAGGTGTGTTGCTACTCTCATAAGTAATTCATAAAGCTCGGGCTGATATCAATAATGATAAAATATTTTTCTTACATTACTAGCGAATGAACATATGGTTGACCTTCAGAAAAAGTATACAATCTAATTTAGATAATATTACTGTTTTTTACTGCAAACATTTGAATCAATTAGGCTTTTCCAACCGGTGAAACATTAACTACACAGTCAACTCATACAACTCCCACTGTTTGGGCTCTGTCTGGTCATCAACCTTATCTTCAGTCGTATAATTTTCCAGAATGGGCTATTTCAGCAGACGAACATGCAAAAAATCTGAGAGTTTTTGCTGCCCTAGATATGGATGCTGATGGGTTAGTTTCAGGCCCTGAAGTGAGAGATATTCTGATGCGATCCGGTTTACCTCAAGATATTCTCGCTCATATATGGGAGCTGGTTGATATACAAAATACTGGTTTGTTAAACAGGTAAATGTCTTTCAATTCAATTAACATTTCTACATTATCTGCGATACTTTATTTGTCTTCACTGATAAGTAAATATTATAATTTTCCGGTTGCTATTACAGTTCGTTATGATGCTGTATTTCACTTTACTTCTATGATTAGTTTCTATTGGTATACTCCGCTACATATCTAACTGTCTTTAGCTATATATTACTGCATGTATATTATATCTTTATTTTTATCGTATGATCTGTAGCTTTTTAGGCGTAATAACGATGTTTTCACTATCTTACCAGGCTTAGGATCCATGTTTGGAATATCGAACACTTTATCGCACCATTAATTGTAAATTCTTAGTCATTTTGTCCATTTTATTTTAAAGTAGAATTTGAGCTGTATTTTATCTTGTAAGAATTTTATTTGTATTTACAGTGAACAGTTTACAGTGGCCATGCATTTGGCAACGGAACAGTTATCTGCGGGCTTATCTAATCGTACCCTTCCTAATGTACTTCCACCCGCTTTACTTCCACCAAGTTTGCGCCCTATTCCTCCAGATCCGTCTATTTATGAAGAATCTAACAAACTAATTGTAGAAATAGAAGCATTAAGCCGGTATGTTATTATTATTGCGTTCAATTTTTGTAGCATGGGTTTTTCTTGCTCAATTATCGTTTTGTATTTGTTATTGATAAAGTATTCAGTTTGTTTTTGATTGAGATCATGAACCGATTGATGTTAGACCATCACAATTGAAAACCTGGAAACACTGGACGGCCGTTTCGTCCTATTGTGGATTGGTTGATGTTAGAAACTATCACCACTGGATGCCGGCTCAGTGGTCCAGTTGGTTAAGCGTTCGCGCGCGAGATCGAAGGCCCTGGGTTCGAATCCCGCTCGCGGGATCGTGGATGCGCACTGCTGAGGAGTCCCACAATAGGACGAAACGGCCGTCCAGTGCTTCCAGGTTTTCGATTGTGATGGTATAACATCAATCGGTTCATGATCTCAATCAAAAACTTAATAATCCCCACAACCCCTATACTAGTATTCAGTTTGTGTTGACCATCAAACTGAGTGCACTTACTAGAATTATCCTGGTGGGTTTTAATGAATATTTTTTTTAATAATTTGGTTGTTATTTGTGTAAGCTACTAAGTAGTTATTATCATCTGTATTATGGGGATTCTATCTGTAGACCTATTGGTCAAGTGATTTCATTTAAAGTAAAATTCCTTAATTTCAACAAACCTGATGTGTAATAAAGTAGGCGGCGGTAACATATAGCTCGAACTAGAGTACCTTTATACTCCATTTCTTCTTTCTCTCCTAACACGGAATATTGCAACAGACTATCAGTTTATTGACAGAAGTCAGGGTTGATAGATCTGGGCAAATAATATATGCATACAAATTTAAAAGATCTGAATATAAAACACTTGAAAATAAGGTGAATATTTCGCGAACTAAAAACGGGCAAATAAAAAAGAGCGTTTTTAGTTTTAGTTTAAATTAAGGGTTTATTTTTTTGGCGGTTACTCGGTGGATTAGCGGAATTTTGTATTTAGTGAAATGAAAATTAACAGGTAAGTAAATTGTTTCATACTCATATGAAGTCCTCGAAAAAACTTTTCGCTTGTCACACACGAAAACTAAGTATTTACCCTGAAGCATTACTGAAATTCGAAAACCTTTTCGATTGTCAGTGAAATGATGTAATATGTGAACTGTGTTAGAGGAAAGTTGTTGTCACCATAATTAAGTTGTCTTATCACGAATTATTGTTAGCTTCGTCACATGATGTATAATATGAAGGTTGGATAATCAAGATGTGTGGAGCTATGCTACTTTTTGGGGGCTTACAGCTCATAGCTTGAGTCTACAGTACTACTACTACTACTACTACTACTACTACTACTACTACTACTACTACTACTACTACTACTACTACTACTACTACTACTACTACTACTACTACTACTACTACTACTACTACTACTACTACTACTACTACTACTACTACTACTACTACTACTACTACTACTACTACTACTACTACTACTACTACTACTACTACTACTACTACTACTACTACTACTACTACTACTACTACTACTACTACTACTACTACTACTACTACTACTACTACTACTACTACTACTACTACTACTACTACTACTACTACTACTACTACTACTACTACTACTACTACTACTACTACTACTACTACTACTACTACTACTACTACTACTACTACTACTACTACTACTACTACTACTACTACTACTACTACTACTACTACTACTACTACTACTACTACTACTACTACTACTACTACTACTACTACTACTACTACTACTACTACTACTACTACTACTACTACTACTACTACTACTACTACTACTACTACTACTACTACTACTACTACTACTACTACTACTACTACTACTACTACTACTACTACTACTACTACTACTACTACTACTACTACTACTACTACTACTACTACTACTACTACTACTACTACTACTACTACTACTACTACTACTACTACTACTACTACTACTACTACTACTACTACTACTACTACTACTACTACTACTACTACTACTACTACTACTACTACTACTACTACTACTACTACTACTACTACTACTACTACTACTACTACTACTACTACTACTACTACTACTACTACTACTACTACTACTACTACTACTACTACTACTACTACTACTACTACTACTACTACTACTACTACTACTACTACTACTACTACTACTACTACTACTACTACTACTACTACTACTACTACTACTACTACTACTACTACTACTACTACTACTACTACTACTACTACTACTACTACTACTACTACTACTACTACTACTACTACTACTACTACTACTACTACTACTACTACTACTACTACTACTACTACTACTACTACTACTACTACTACTACTACTACTACTACTACTACTACTACTACTACTACTACTACTACTACTACTACTACTACTACTACTACTACTACTACTACTACTACTACTACTACTACTACTACTACTACTACTACTACTACTACTACTACTACTACTACTACTACTACTACTACTACTACTACTACTACTACTACTACTACTACTACTACTACTACTACTACTACTACTACTACTACTACTACTACTACTACTACTACTACTACTACTACTACTACTACTACTACTACTACTACTACTACTACTACTACTACTACTACTACTACTACTACTACTACTACTACTACTACTACTACTACTACTACTACTACTACTACTACTACTACTACTACTACTACTACTACTACTACTACTACTACTACTACTACTACTACTACTACTACTACTACTACTACTACTACTACTACTACTACTACTACTACTACTACTACTACTACTACTACTACTACTACTACTACTACTACTACTACTACTACTACTACTACTACTACTACTACTACTACTACTACTACTACTACTACTACTACTACTACTACTACTACTACTACTACTACTACTACTACTACTACTACTACTACTACTACTACTACTACTACTACTACTACTACTACTACTACTACTACTACTACTACTACTACTACTACTACTACTACTACTACTACTACTACTACTACTACTACTACTACTACTACTACTACTACTACTACTACTACTACTACTACTACTACTACTACTACTACTACTACTACTACTACTACTACTACTACTACTACTACTACTACTACTACTACTACTACTACTACTACTACTACTACTACTACTACTACTACTACTACTACTACTACTACTACTACTACTACTACTACTACTACTACTACTACTACTACTACTACTACTACTACTACTACTACTACTACTACTACTACTACTACTACTACTACTACTACTACTACTACTACTACTACTACTACTACTACTACTACTACTACTACTACTACTACTACTACTACTACTACTACTACTACTACTACTACTACTACTACTACTACTACTACTACTACTACTACTACTACTACTACTACTACTACTACTACTACTACTACTACTACTACTACTACTACTACTACTACTACTACTACTACTACTACTACTACTACTACTACTACTACTACTACTACTACTACTACTACTACTACTACTACTACTACTACTACTACTACTACTACTACTACTACTACTACTACTACTACTACTACTACTACTACTACTACTACTACTACTACTACTACTACTACTACTACTACTACTACTACTACTACTACTACTACTACTACTACTACTACTACTACTACTACTACTACTACTTACTACTACTACTACTACTACTACTACTACTACTACTACTACTACTACTACTACTACTACTACTACTACTACTACTACTACTACTACTACTACTACTACTACTACTACTACTACTACTACTACTACTACTACTACTACTACTACTACTACTACTACTACTACTACTACTACTACTACTACTACTACTACTACTACTACTACTACTACTACTACTACTACTACTACTACTACTACTACTACTACTACTACTACTACTACTACTACTACTACTACTACTACTACTACTACTACTACTACTACTACTACTACTACTACTACTACTACTACTACTACTACTACTACTACTACTACTACTACTACTACTACTACTACTACTACTACTACTACTACTACTACTACTACTACTACTACTACTACTACTACTACTACTACTACTACTACTACTACTACTACTACTACTACTACTACTACTACTACTACTACTACTACTACTACTACTACTACTACTACTACTACTACTACTACTACTACTACTACTACTACTACTACTACTACTACTACTACTACTACTAATAATAATAATAATAATAATAATAATAATAATAATAATAATAATAACAATAATAATAATAATAGTGTTGATGCAGCTATTTGATCGACAGATGACTCATCTATGGGGGATTCAATTGACTTCTGTTTTTGTAACTGAAGTGAGCCATTTAACATTTATGCAATAGAAATTATTTTAGTTACTTGACATTATGAGGACTTATTGAGAACTGGATCATTGATAACTATATTTTACTTTACGGGGCAATAAATCGACATTTGAAAAAATCATGGACATCACATTCTTTGCCCAAACTTGACTATATTTGTGTAGTCACATTAAAAATTAGGTTTCTTATTTTCTGTTTCTTTTTCTTAAAGGTTATTAAAACTATGTATGTCTGAGGTTTATGTGCACTAAGTAATCTTGTATTTACACTTTTTCATATTGCAGTTGGTTAATAAACACTTTATTGACATTTTGTTTTCATTTTTTTATAAAAAATTTCAGTGAAAAATCTGCAGTAGAATCTGATTATGTCTCTATGGCCAAAGATTCTCAACGTCGAGCATCAGAAGCCACTGCAAAACAGCGTACAATTGATACCCTTAATCATACAATTCGTAATCTAGCTAATCAACGTGTGGAAGCCGAACGTCGACTAGGCGATTATAGTCGTGAAAAAGATACGTTAGAAAATGTGCTTAATGAAATCAAAAGTCATGTCGTGAATGAACGTCAAAAAGTTGAAGAAATGCGTATTAAAATCAATTGTCAACAAGCCTCAACGAAAGTATGTTTTTTAATTTGTGATGTTTTAGAACATTTTATGTTGTCTTATCACCCCTAAATTCCGTTCATTATTTTTATAAACTTTCAACTAGTTTATAAATTCTGATGAATATCTATACTGAATGGTTGTTCTATTTAAAAGCTGCCATTCTTCTATCGCACTGTCGTGTTCTCGCTTATGGCACAGCACAGTATGTTGTAAATGAGTGATTTATACTACAAATAGATAATATTGGAAACGGTATGTACTTCTCCCATGATTAATCAGTTTGTTTTTGAAGTTATGTTCTATACTACTTGCGAACGAGATTTCTAAATAACACCATTCAACCCAAAAAGTGCTACTCATCGTCGACCATCTGATGAGTTGTTTTAATGCCAGTTATCACTAAGTATCTACAATACGATTAGCCGCTTTTAAAAAAGACATCATGGATTCATGAGCAGGTGATGACACTAAATGAATCTAAAGAGGTGTGTAATTGATTCCTAATTTGATTTCATCCGTATTTGTAACGGAAATTAATCAAAGTAGACTTGTTATCCAGTTGTTCGGAGCTTACTCTGTGAGATTGTTTCTTAAGACATCGGCTCAACGGTGCCCTTTTAGCAAGTCGAGTAGCACTTTTGGATAGGACTACTGCGCACGTATTCTATTGCTTTAGTAATGCATGCTTTGAAATTATAATTGGTTCACTGTTATTCATAGGCGATGGTAGAAGTATTGTAGAAATCAATGAAACAGTTAAGCGAAACAAGAAAATATGAGGAAGGGTGCAAGTTGAAAGTAGGATGTATTAGCAGTATTTTGTGTGATCAGTTGGTTATATATATATATATATATATATATATATATATATATATATATATATATATATATATATATAGTCTACATAAAAGGTATTGTAAAGAAATCAAAAAGCCGAAAATTTTGTGCTTATCTTTATAGTCAGCAAATATCTTCTGTCGTGGATGTCCGTGGATATAGTTGACTGAAAAGCTTATAAGTGAGTCGGGAGATCTGGAAACATTCGGAAATTTGTTGTCCATAAATGGTATTTCATCAATTCTCTATGGGCAGTTAGCATCAATAACATCGAAAGAAAGCGGAGACAGTTGGTAACTTATGTACACTCGTATAAAATTTTACTAGGGAAAATGATTTGTAATCATATTGATCAACTTCTGTTACATAAACCAAATGTTTTAAGGTAGCAACATGTATTTAGATGTGATATGCACTATGTAAGAACACATTCAATCGGACTTCGGCACAACTGACTTAGTATTTCCACTGGTGACGGTCGAATGCGTCTTGATACTTGAATATTCTGTGTCCTAGTATTATTTTCATTCATCGATTACAATTTTAGAGTCAAAAAGAAGAAATAGCTTGTTTACGTAATGAGTTGAATGAATTAATACGAGAGGAAGCGATGTTACAAGACAAAATAATTGAAAACCAACGCCGTTTAGAACAAATTGAAAAGGAAAACCGTTTAGCTCAGTCTCGCGTAGATCAAGTAAGTCACATTTTTGCATCTAACTTTTTTTGTGTTTCAGTTAGGTAATGAAAAAAACTGTGTATATTGTCTACTGTGTTTGATTGACACGTTCTATACATTTGTTGCAAACTAACCATCTCTTTGCTTTTATCAATTCTATAAGTGTTAGCAAGTAGAAGTTAGTGGTTTGTCCAAGTCACAAGAGCTGGCGTCTTAATACTATTAAACCTGTTAAGCACACATTACTAAACCTCATGATTACCAGCATGATGCTGCTACTAGATGTCAGTCTTACATTAAACTTGTTTATCAGTATACTTGCTTGATTTTTTCGTTTAAATTTTACTGACTTATTGTTAGCGATAATTTTTGTTTTCTAATTCTTAGGCTAACATCAAACTTGAAACATTAGAATCTACTCGTGGTCAATTGTTAGAAGTGCTTGAACAATATAACGGTCTATTAAATGGTGATGAAAATATCAAAGAACCAGATGAGGCAAGGGTTAAGTCTCTGGTTAGTTGACCAATTAATTAATGATTTTGATTATTTTATGTTTTCGTTTAATAAATTCATAATTCTAGCATAAATTAATATTCTACGCTTTTAGTTAATCTAAGTTTGCGTAATTGTTGAAAAATTCCCATCATATTGAAGCACAGATATATGTACGAAGAATATTCTTTGTGATAAATTCTGTTCAGGTTTTACAGTTATATATCCAAATTATTAATCGAAAAACTAAGTTTACATGCTACGATTTATTTCACCTTAAAACTCGACACTTTTTAGATTATTAATTTAGATATATAGTTGTAAAACGTGATAAGAATTGATTAGAAAAAATTCTTCGTTCATATATATCTGTGTTTTCGCCTAATTGAACGATTGTTTACCCGTTCTCATTGCTCACATCGTCTTTACTTATCTGTTCACCGTTAGCTTACATTTTATAGAATATTTAAACTACTGTTTCAAAATGCTTTATCTTTGTATGGTTCTTTTGATTTTTGAATCCAAAGTATTCAAGGTTATCTTGTTGAGTATACTTTTTCGGCATTAGTATGACTATAATCAGCAATGAGTTGTAATTATACTGAATTGAATTCGCTCTCTTAAAGTCATTTCGTTATTTAAATTATTTTGGATCTGTTTATTATTAAATCATTTCCAACGTATCAGTTCTTTAAACTAGTGGGATTCAAAACATATATTTATATTTTGCACAAACTCTTTTGGTTTTTACAACAAAAATTCTCTACTTGTATTTAAATTGATTGTGTATCACTTTATGGTTATCGATTATTAATCTGAATCTCATTGAGTAAATCCAGACTGTCGGATCTAACCAACTCAATGATCGTGATTAATGTATGGAGATCTGTGTTAGTGAGTGACATTGTTCGAAATTGATCAGTACATTTCTGAAATTTGTTTTTTTCTTTATCTTCCTTTTGAATTTCGGTTTTAAACTTATCTGGTACTTTTATTTGTCATATTTACTCATTTTTGAACTATATTCCTTATGCTTATTCTATCGTACTATTAACAATATTGTTATTACTACGATTACTATGCTATGCACCTTGTTAAGTTATCTCATCATTATAATATGATAATGCCAACCTAGGTTGATATATATTAGTGTCATGTTCTACACTGACTGGCTAACTATATGCAAATTACATTTGGGCTTTCATTCTTTTTAGCTTTCTGATGAGAGTGCAAAAGATAGTTTAAGAAGTTTCGATACAGGTCTTGATGGTATAAATTGGCCAAATAATAATAATGCGCCTTCTTTTACTACTGGTATATCAACTTTCTCAGCATTTGATATGGCACGAAGCCAAACTGGTGCTCACTCTGTACCACTTCCATTAATGTCAATGAATACTGTATCGGGTGGTGATTGGAAGACGAATGAAAGAGGTCTTCTAAATTCTTCACTTGGATTTCCATTTCCTTACGATCCTTTTGATAGCAATGATCCTTTCAAATCTTCTAAAGCCAATGAGTTTCATAAAGGTGAGTTATATATACCAATCGATCACTAAAAGAGCAACCGATAGTGTTTTCATTGTCTTAAATTCCAGGTACAGATGATAGTAATGTATTAAACCGGGTTCTAATGTATGTAGTCATGGCTAATGAATGTAAACAATGAATGAATGGAACACATTGTGGACGATGTGTTTTATTCAGCATCATACTTCGAGGGAGATTTTTATTTCGGCTCCTTTCATAATTTTTCACGTACAGTTACATATAGTCACTGTTTACCTAAATGTACAATTTTGTACGTAACACTAGACAAGTAGCTGTAAATTATTCACTGTCTAATTCAAAAGTTTAAAAAGTGAATCCACTAATTACAATTTGTTCAACACTGATGTTTACTCATCGTTAGAACTAAAACATAGATCTTGACTAAATTTTGGATGCTTGTTATGTCTCCCAGTATATATTTGTTCCAGTCATTGATTTTATTGTTACAATTCAATATCACTTATTTTCAGGTTGGTGGTGAAATAAAAGCTAATTGGAAGCCAAGGTTATATATATATATATATATATATATATCATTTATGCATTTGTACTACCTCTATATGTGTGTGTAACTATTGTCTATGAATGTTAGAGTGGCCATGGCTTATGTGATAATTTTTTCTATCCAACCGATTGAGTCAGTTAGAAATTCCAATGTAAACAAACTATAATTTATGTTAATTTACTAATGTTTTACAATTATCTCTTATCAGCTAAATTATTAAGATATTTGATAACTCGTTATACATACAGGTGTGAGTATGTATGTGTTCATTCGTGCATGTTAGTTGCATTGTTGAACTGGTCGTATTTTCCGCTAAACAACCTGAGAATTTACTTGTTTCTTTAATGAACTATTTAATTCAATATTTTATTTCGTTATAATACTAGCAAGACTGTCTTAGTGATTAAGACGTTCAACTTTCAGTCGCTCAGTTGCAGATTCAAGCACTGCTCGATCCACATGGGTTTAGGAAACCGTGTAGTATCATTAGACCACAAAGCCAAATGCATCAATCTGTATTTGGTGATTGTTACTACTTTTTTTCTTTGTAGTGAAAAGTTCCTATCGGTTATAAATCTCACAATATCTTGATATCAGTGTTTTGTTTTCATGAGTTATCACTTGGCGAACTACTCTGCCGTATTAGTCTATTACGATCGCACTATTTTTGAACACAGTTTCTCACTGACTCACTTCCATTAGATGTAGGAATTTTAATCAATCTTAATTAGAAAATGAAATTCTGTTAGACGTGATCCACTCGTCGGCAGTAATCTATAGATAGGTAACAAAAATGATAATGATGAAAATGTATGACATCCGATCAAGATTTCGTTTATTTTGTGTTGATAATAACTCTGAGGTTTTGCTTACCTAAAGCGATACAGCGGTTTGAATTTTATCTCCAGAAAAATTATTATCATTTATTGCTTATTGAATAATAAACCTTTTCAAATTATTTATTAACATTGACATCAGTTGTGAACTGAAAAAGTCATCTATTAACTTATGCTTGTCTTCACTTGTCATCAACTTCCCACAACGAATGTAAGGGGTTAGAAAAAATTGGCCATAAATATACCACATCTCACTTTATCCCACAAATTTCCATCTAAGGCGGTGAAGCTTTAGAAGTACAGAGATAATTCGTCTAAAACTACTCATTTGCCCTCATACTTCTAATATCACTCGAGATTACGATTGAATGTTACTAGATATTAATATTAACTTTTATAACTGTTTCAACATTTATCTCGAATGCATTTTTCTCTTGCAAACCAAATTGTCTACCACTTATAGAAAATTTCTGATTCGTTCGGGAAAATTATTGCTACTGTTAGTGTTGTTTCAAAAGAAGAAGAAAGAAGCATAAATATTAATGCACGCAGTTATAGAAATCGCAACATTATCAAAATCCTCCTTTTAAGTCACAAATTTCCCACATTATCTTAGTAATAAGCAATTTTATGAAAAATTAAAAGAAAAGAAAATATTAAGAAATAGAAATTTAACTTTGCATTAAGTGTATCGTTAATTCTGTGATATTCTGTGCTTTGTTGCTGTTTACTTTATAAACAGTAGTTAAGTGGATAACTCGTTTGCGTTTGAAGCGAACGGTACTGTGTTCGAGCCCCGAAGTGAATACCAACTCAGGGATGCATGTACATCCACCCGACGAGTCCCAAATAGGACAAAACGCGCATCTCGACCTCCACTGCTAGCTACTATCCATCTTTGCTTGTAATGCTTGTGACTGAAGGCAATATCACGACAATGCGCACAGTATGCTTATATGCCAATCAAAGACTGATCAATTGCAGTCCTAAACATCAATGGGAAGGTTTAAACAATCAATACAACAATGAATTTATATAAATTTGTTTAAATATCTAGCAAAATTGATTCCTTTTGGGAACATAATTTTTCTTATTTTTATTTCATCTATTTTATATGATAACAGAATCTGTTGAGGATCCATTTGCTTTGTCAAGTACAAATGATCCATTCAAGGATTCCGATCCATTCGGTTTAGATCCATTTGGTTTATCATATTTAGTAAGTGAATTTTCAAATACTATTTCGGTCAGTGTAATTTTATCAACATTTTTTTTCTTTGTAACAGTGCTTTTACTTTTCCCATACAAACTGATAATCATGTAATTATCCGTTTACATATTGAAGATGATAACGAATACATGGGTTTATATTTGTACACATTTATTTTATAAATTATCATCCCTGTACAGTAAATATTGTTTAACTTAACATTATCAATTTTCTTTACGTAAAGAAATAGTTTAACGAATGGATATCTTTCGGGATAAAATCTTATGGAAATCAAACAAGTCGGAACAATCGTTTTTTTCTTTTCCATAACGTCAAAATTCTGAATAATGAGAACATCTTTGATTATTTCTATCATTTTTAATTCCCGTGTTGTATGTGTTAACTTTAGGTTGTCAGTTCAGTGTTCGACTTTAGTTATATTATCTCAGTAGTTTTAATTTTTATTCGAGTGTAAAATGTATCTTTGAATGTTGTACTTTTTACTTTTATTGAATGTATGATGATTGCAGGCTTGCCGGTATATTTCCTGCTAGTTTTAAGTCCTACACAAAATCTATTATGTGTTTCATTATATGTTAAATTGGTCAGTTAACACCGTATTAGTTTGCATTGAATTAGTCTTAAAATAATTTAAGATAGGTTGATAAAAACTGAATATACGGGCTTCTAGTTTGTGTGCTCTTTCCACTACCGATATCAGTAACTTTAAACAAACTTATATCATCTCATATACTTAAACTTTTGTTCTGCTCTGTCACAGTTAACGATGTTGTCACTTGTTTATTCGGGCTGGCACTTTCGGCTATATGGATAGATCAGATTTCCATGGATTCATCACTGTCTACTCATTACTAATAGTCGGGATTCTGTCGGTCAAGTTCACAACGTAGCTATATCTTTGGATCCTTTTCTCAAAGAAAGTCGTGTAGTACACACACAATAATACAGTAATGCAATTTGTAATGGTTTTTGGATGATACCTTTGTTGATATTTTTGACTGGATTTTGATCAATCTAAGTTAACATATGTGCATCCTATGCAAATTACCTCTATATAGTCATTGTCACGAGTTTTTCTATAATAGATGGGATGTGGCTAACAGTGGAATCGAAAATGTTCCTTTCTTCATATTTCGTACATTTTAGCTGGATGTCCCTGGATCCAAGAGTTATTCTCTACTTCCGGACTCGGACTTAGCTCTTTTAGCTTCAAACACCTAACACGTTATCTATTTATCTGCTGAATCTAGATAGCTACTCAGCTATGCAACTGAAATCTAATGTTTTTTAAAAAATCATATACGATCATTTTATGCAAATCTTACTTGTTTTGTTTAATAACTTTGACTCTTTTTAAAAAAAGTAAACTAAGTTGGTTATATGAACCGAAATATTGAAAATCATCATTTCAAATCTCGCTCAGTACTTCGTTTGGCAATTTTTTCGACGTCTTTTACATATACAAAATGTTATGTTTCGGGATACAAATATCGAAGTTGTTCTCAATGTAATTAGAAAACAATGTTTCTGTGAGACATTTGTAAAGAGAGACGCGACATTACATGATATCACTTTTTTGCAAATTACATTGACATCCTTAAACGAATAGACAAAATCGAATGAATCCAGTGTGTTGTATTCATAAATTTAAATTATTTGATCTGAGAAATTATGATTAAGTGCTGAATTTTCCAAATAAGAATGGTTTTATGACTATATTATCAAATTATCTTTCATAATATCAGATGAAGTTGAACTTACTTAAAAATCCTTTCTGAAGGATGTAACCGAGAAGGCTGCATAGATGTTGGCGAAAATCTTGAGGAAATGAAAGATAAGTTTATTATCAATAGTGATCTTTAAGGACGTCCTTAACCATCGGGTTCCGTTATCCCAAGACCATACAGGCTCTTAAAAGTATACAATAATGTCTTTCTGCTTCTCATACTCGGTGTTATCAACTTTTCTCACTATTTGAATGTTAATTGGCTAACTGAAGATATACAGCCAGTCAGAAGTCACGTCAATAGATACAAGGTACTGGTTTCATTCATCTTTGTCCAGTGATTAATAAAAGTCAAAAAGTGATATCATTGAATATTGATTCTCTCTTTACAAATGTTCCACTCGCAATAACAATGTGTTTTCATGTGACTGTATTAAAAAATAATAACTTCCATATATTTATCTTGAAACATTATCTGGAATAACTACTTCAATGCACTTACAGTGACTGTTCAGAATTTAAAAAATATAGATATATGAATGATGAATATTAGTGGTAAGGTGATGGTTGGAGGTATTCGACAGGAAACCCTGGACCTAGGTTTTGTGCTACTCTACACTCGTCAGCAAGTCTACCTGTAATCTTGAAGGGACGGAAACTCGCTGACGGATTCTATGCTATGTTACTCAGCTTCAAAGTCAGAGATGTTACAACTGAGCTCGCCGGGTAGCTACTGACCTCCTGTAAGAATGAGATGTATTTACAGCTGATTGATCACTAGGTAGATTGAAAGTATATCTTGCTGACACGTACTACATAGCATGAAATTTAGGTCCAGGGTTTCCTGTCGATTACTATTCAATTAGACTAGTGTTTAATAGAATTCGATCTGCATTAAGAAAGACTTGACATATATGACATTGGTCACTACTCAGTGATCAACCTATTGTAAAAACATGTTAAGTAATATTACCGACTAATAACATTGTTTTAGACTACTTAGGCAACGTTTTATGCTGTTCAGTTTTATTGTAAATGAATTTGTTAATTAATAAGTAGTAGTAATAATAACCTATTATAATGATGTCCACAAACAAAGATATTATTTTTCTACAGAGAAAAATTATTGTGTGATTAAGCATTCTGTTCTCTACCGGTTATATTTGTCAATCAAATGAAGTAAATCGTGCGATATGGTGTTGATACGTCATCGTCACCTTTTGTTTTCAATTCATGTCTATGAATTTCTGATTATAAATATCTAATAGGTGTAAATATATACACAAATTTATACTAGATTGAATCTTATCATAGTAACACAACTGAAATTTTCTGTTAGTTTATAAAATATTTCTTTTGTCTTGTGTTAATGTTTTGTTCAGTGTTGCCGAATCCTATGCATTACACCATCTTTGTGTGTTTGTGACCGTGTGCATACACATTATATCTTTGTTTTTCTGAATTTTCATTCTAATTGTTTATATCATATAAATGCCTACACTTTTTTATGTAGAAAGAATTACTGCTATAACTTCCTTTTTGTGATTATCGTTGGTTGGATTGTTACTTTTCATGTGATATACACTGATCACGATAGCTTTTTTTGGTTTTCAGAAATATTTTCAGATAGTGAAACAGAAAAAACACGTTTTATAGTTGATTAGTGAGATTTAGATTTTCAGTTACAGTTTTAAGTTATACTTCTAATAGCATGATTTAAAAATATCTACATCAACATAATTTGAAGCGGATCCAAATCGTCTACGATTTATTCTGAAAGCAAACTGAGTTTTAGATAAACATTGAATAATTATTGATACTAAAATTTTGGAAAGCATATTAGTCGAGATAATTCCTGTATTGATTACCAAAAGATTCCTTTCCTTTCATATAAACTGAGATGATCAAAAATTGACTTAATATGAACATGCTATTAAATCCCGATGAGACTGGTGGATATTGAAAAAAAATACTAATCATATCACCTTTTGATCTGCTTGAATTACTGAGATTTCCGTTTGGACTTTAGAATGCGGCTCAAACCTTTCAGAGTTTTGTGAATAAGGCCACCAGAGGACTTGGTTCTGTTTTTTTAAAAATTAAATAGACGATATTTTAATCACCAGTTCCTTACCGAACAAATATTTCAAGTACCTCCTGACTTTATTTGAATTTTTTCAACTTTACGTAATAGTCATCAACTCCACTAAACAAATTTTTTGTGTTCCTACCTTAGATTTTCTAGGACATCACATTGACTCACACGAAACCGAATCTTTACGTGAAAAGGTTGCCACTATATTAAGCTACTCCTAACAAGATTCTAGTAAGAAGTTATGGCATTTTGTGGCTATGTTGGATTTCTATCGGCACTCGATACTTGAATGTAGAGCCATCCTAAAACCTCTGTCCAAACTGCTCAGAGGGAATAAAGAGGATTTCAATTTCTCTCAATAAGTGAAGACTACCTTTTGGGACGCGAAAACAACATTATCGAGTGCTCCTATGTTGAAACACCTAAAACTCACTCTACAACTCAGTTGGTCTTATAAATTGACGCATTAACAACTAAACGATGAAATCACATGTTTGATACTTTTAGAAATGCCTAAATTCTGCTCAAACACATCTTCAGGCCTTTAGTCATGATCTATCGACCGTTTATTTATCAGTTAAAAATTTTGGCCATTTTGTCTCAAGGTCACGATTCTAGCAGACCCCAAATGTGTGTGGTATTCATTTATTACCTCATCTGATAAGCACGTAAATCGCGTAATCAGGTGGCTAGATTTGACATATCAGTTCACCACTGATATCACATCTGTCGAACGTAATAATAGATGCTTTATCTATAAGCGAAGTCAACATAGTTATTCAACAAAGTGACATGGCTAAGCTCCAGCTAGATAATCCAAATTTGAGAGTCTGTATTGAATAGTCTAATTTAATCCTTAGGACCAATCCTACTCCATTTTGGGATTCTATCTTTGCGTTCCACCCAGTACCGCTTATTTGTGTCATAGTAACGGAGAAAATGTGCAGCGTCTCCATTCTCCATCACTCCCCTAGCATTCGGATCTCGGTGAATTTGTAACAGATCGTTCCGTTTGGAAATAATGAATGTTGAGATTAGGTGTTTGAAGTTACTTGTACTACCAGCAAAGTAAGATTTACTGACACACAATTGTCTAACCAGATAAGTTTTAAACGTCTTCAGCAAATCACATGTCAACTATCCAAATCTCCCACATGTACGTGTATAGACGTCGACTGTCTCACCACATGTGGGATTGTATGTCCTTATAATGATACCTTTGCCGAAACTGTTGCTTCTGTGTTCTTGGATGAATAGATTTTCAACTTTGGTGTTAATTACACTATCACTACGGATTGCGGATCCAAGTTCCAATCGATATTGTTTCATGAGGTCACCCTTCCCCTAGGGGTCCATTAATTTACTACCATGGTCTACCGAGTATAGAATAGTTCAGTGGGAATATTCCACCTCCATTTAAAAAGCTCGCTAATGTCACAACCTGATACGACAAAATGGAGTGATCCCTCACCATTAGCTCTCCTTGAACTCCGATGTACAATTAAAGAAGACAAACTATACGACAGACAAACTAATATTCGACACAACATTAGTTTCATCCTTCTAGTTAATCAGTAAAGAGGACAAAAACCGATTGATCACGTTTCTCAATCAACTTGTTATAAGATATTCGGGAACTCTATCCATTTTACCCATGCATACACTCGTCACAAGCAATTCATTAAACATCTCAGTGCAATTATCTACTCACTGAAATCACCAACGGTTTGTACGTAACAAAAAAATATCCCATAATCGGAAAACAAGGCACTAAGGGAACTGCTTTCATTGACCTATGCAAACCATATTTTTTTATGGCCAACGAACAGAAAAAGTAGCATTAAGATAGATAAACATGTCCTTCCTTCTGAACCACCGAGGTCTAATGGCATACCTCTTCAAGCCCATACCGTACAACCAGAAGTTAAAGGATAGTAACTAAACCCAATCGCTATGTAAGTTTTCTCGGCGAACCTATATTTGTATTATCTTCAGTATATGTTCAAGGCAAATTAATTTAGCATTGAATATTTACATGGCAACCATCAATACCTTCTTCGCATTGTCGATCCATCCATATGTTGTCACTTGTATTAGTTAAAACTTGTCTTTAAATACTGCTTTTACCTGGTTTTTATAGCCGAGTAAAACGATTTTTTGTTATCAATTTAAATATATTAGCCTCTGATTAAACACTAAATACATCAAACATCCTTAGATTATCGAATTCCGTTACAATTATTTATTTCTGGGAGACAGATTGGAATTTCTTTGGATTTGATACTTGAACCTGAAATTATTGTATTTTTATTATGTTTAGTTTTTATTGTCCCTTCGGATTACTTTATGATAAAAACGAGGTATAATGGTAATGATGTTAATAAATTATATGTCCTATTCGACTTCTTATGTACACTGTTGACAAGCATCATTAATAACAATGCTGATATAAAATTTAAATACAAAAGTAATTGATAAACGTAAATGTTTAACATTCGATAATGTAGATAAACGATAGGAGAGGAAAGAAATGCATGTGAACTTTATTGGCAAATTTAACTAAATTTTATTAAACGCGATCCAACATTTATTATAATCAGACAAAAAAAGAAATCTACAGAGATGTGGTGAATAAAGAAAGTGATGAACATTTATGCTCACACACCCTCATTAAAAGTGATCAAGTTAACGACTTTATGTGTACGTTTTATCTCAAAGAGATTAGATTCCCTTGGCTTGTACCAAAATATCCCCAGAACTCCTTGCCTTCAGTATGAAGAATTTAATTCAAAAAAGTGACTCTATTCAAAGATAAATTTACCTGAAAGATATACGAAGAACATTGAATAAGCAGATAGAAAAATGTACTATTTCATTGATGGTACAATAGTACGTGAGGAATAAGTTTATGAGACTATAATACCATACGTCCTTTAAGAAAATAAATGTACGGATTGTCTATATGGATGGTCAATAAGTATGTTACATCATGACCTAGTGAATAGACGTATAAAATTTACGGAGCAAATGTATGTGAAAAAAAACACAACATGTTGGTATGATTAATTCATAATTGTGTGACAAAATCACGATAAATCGTTTATTGTTTTTTGGAGTACGAAAGCTCAATAAACCTCAGCAGATGAATCAAGAAGAATTTTAATATGACAAAAATTGATACAAACAGAATGAATGTGAAGGCGATGCATTAGGCCAATCAGGAATCTGTCAAATGATAAGTACAAGCGATTGATCAAGAAATAACTTACATTTCCTGGGAATAAGACAGCATTGGTTACATATATATATATATATATATATATATATATATATATATATATGATGCAGGTGCTTAATAAAACCGTAGTACATTATTTACTTTGTCTCCCTATTCTTTTTTTCTATATCTAGATGGCTAAGGATAAAAAGTCTCCAAATACTATTGGTAAGCTATATCCGTTATTATTATTATTATGTAGGTATGAATGCCAAGGTTGGACTTGGGATATAACAAATAATGCATCTCTTATTATGGTTGCATTTGAAATAAGATTCTATTGACTTGGTATTGTTTTGCTTGTATCTTCCCATTGAGGTTTAAGACTGCGATTAATCAGTCTGCTATTGGCATATGTGCATACTGTGTGTATGCCCCGATATTACCTTAATTCACAAGCTTTTATACACAACGATGGATAGTGGCTAACAGTGGAATCCAGGACGCGCGTTTCGTCCTATCCGGGACTCGTCAGCTAGATGTGCCTGCATCTCAGAGTTGACTCGAACTCAGTACCATTCTCTTCAAATGCCATCACGTTATCCACTTAGCTACTGAGTCCTGATAGCCACTTACTGAGATGCAGGTACATCTAGCTGAAGAGTCCCAAATGGGACAAAACGCGCGTCCTAAATTCCACTGCTAGCCACTATCCATCCTTGATTATATAAGATTCTATTGGTTACTTTCCCCAAAGGTTTTGATAGAATGTTTCTTTACAGTTATTTGTACACTAGGTTACTTTTTAACTAGTTTAGTCTGACAAACTTCTCATCACCGTTTTAAATTTTGTATACTTACTGTACTAGTAGCATTTAATAAAAGCATATTATCATCACATACATTGATGCATGGTAATGGCTGGTGTAGATATAGTTCTGAGGAAAGCTAGGAATGGTCAAACCAAAACATTGCATCAGTCCATGAAGTTGTTGATTATTAGACGGGGCGGTGTAGGCAAGTCTATACTACCTGTTTTGGGTCTGCATAATTTGCATAACCAATGATTAGAGACTAAATGAATCTTTAGCAATGGTGCAGTTGCATTTAATGTTTCTCCTCCCTTGGATTCTAAGTTTCTTTTTGATTTTGACAAGTTTTTTTTAACCTACTCCACAAATCTTTTTTTTCCATCATGCCCATTTTGTGGTCGTAATTTTTTTTACCATCAATAATACTATTTCCACTTATAGCACTCTCTGTACTTATGCGGTTTAGCAACTTCAATTGATGGAAATTTGTGCCAGTTTCTACATTATATATGAATGACCCACTAATTCTACCTAATTCATTATTTCCAATAAATCAGACTGAATCATTTCTATATACTTTCTGTTTACTATGTTATACATTTAATACTACAGAGTGCATACCATGTATGGTCTAATGGTAAGGTGAGATATGTATTTGATTTTCTTATAGCAAATGTTATTTTTTCAGAAGTGTGCACTTTATGGATAAATTTTCGGGTAGTTTGACTTCTTTTCGAGTTCTTTTATCTCTTGTAAATGGTCACTGATTTATATTAAACTAATAATAATTAAAATTGTAACGATACTGTTAATAATATTAAACATAATAAACCGAACTCATTTTTTATTGGGATCATTTGGAGAATGCAATGAACTGTTTCTTTCCTATTAAAGTGTAACTACCGAATTCTAGCAATATTGATACCTTTCGAAATGAATTCTATGATTTTCAAATTGTTTGAGATTTATTTATGGTATTATGATGTCAGTTTGTAGATATTGAATTGTTTCATCTCATTTTAATAATTCTCTAAATATCGTATTTAATAATGCAAGTTTTCGAAAAAGAATGTTATCTTTGTTTAGTTGTTGAGCGAATTGTAACGAGTAGTTCAGTTTGAAAATGGTTTTCATCTTGGAATCAAAATCACTTTGAATATACATGCATTCTAGTGTCTTTTCTAAGGATAATTATCATTTAATAGTGGGTTAGCACTTTTTCCCATATTTTTATTTATAGCCTCAGCATTTGATCCTTTTAAACCGGACAGCGTGTGTCCTACTGTACTTCCAGAAAATTCATTGATCGGAGCGGATTTCGATGCTGTACGTTAAACTCTAAGTAACACATTGTAAATGTTGTTTTTTGATACTATTAGTTTTTATTGATTTCCCACTAGGTATTTTAATAATTTCATAGGAATAAGATTACCATAGTTTTTCTGGCATTTTATTAATCAAAGCTTGATCCATCTTCACAAATTGTATGCGTAATTGTAGCATAGATAAACCATTCGTTCTGATCCTGGCGACATTCTTTCTACATTTTTACTCCTAAAGTTTAATAAGGTTAACCGTTACAAATCGGGCTTTATGTGCAGTTAATCTGCTTACTATTTGTATCAAATACAATCAACATCGAACAGTCTACTTTTTGGAGCTCATATACTAACACAAACTGACCACAGTTAATCATGAATATCTACAACGGAAAAGGCAAACTACTTCACAAATAAAAATTGTCTCTGTTAATATTATTAATAATATTTATTGGTATGAAATGCGAATTCGATTTATTTGAAATGCTTTATATAAAGAAATACTGTATGCAATATAAATAGATTATCATACATAAAACTTATCAGTTAAATTGCTAGTGGTAATTACTTTTCAAATTCACAAATAACAAATAGGTATTTGGACCTTCCAACGGTGAGCTATCGAACATGACTGATCCGTTTGGTAGTGATCCTTTTACACCTTCAAGTACCTCATTTATGATGAATACAGGTATGGTTAATAACAGAGAAATAAAGAATCATATGAATTCTGTAAAGAAGTCTCCACCACCTCGACCAAAAACTCAACCAACTCCTGGTAAATCTATGCGAGCTTTCAAAGTAGGTGTTGTTTTCTTGTTATTGACAATATTGTGACGTAAACATACAAGATTCTCTTTGTGTTGGTTTGTTCTTTTTTATTAATTTTTTACTTTGTTTATCTCAAGGAGTAATGCCACGATGTATAAGGAGCTTTTTGATATTATTTAATCATAAAGTTTGTCTCCTATTTCTGATTGTTCAGTCCACTACTTATTTATAGCAGTTGTTTTCAGATGCTTCATATGCTCTAGTTAGTAACACCTGTCTAGTTGATGTTATTCGGTTGTGAAATTTGATTGAAGAACTGTCAGCATCAGGTTATACCAACATTAGTGTTAGAGATTTATATGTCTAGAAAACTCACTGCTTATGATTTTTGATATCTGTCTCACTTATGATATTCTTCCGAAACAAACTCAAAATTCCTGAATGCTCTTATTACAAATTAGTTTCTGAGTTGTCTTCTTTAAATGAAGGCTTCAAAAAGATAAACAGGTAAAAGAATACGAGAATATCTTCTATTGCTCGACAGAATTAAATCTATGGTATAAAGTTTGCTATTATAGTCAATATTTGATAGAATCCGAAATTCTCCTTTTTATGCACTGTGGATGAGATGTCCACCTGTCAATCAAAGTTCGGGTTTACTGAATACCAATCTTCTGTTTATTTTTATGGATGTGAAACATGTTTATTAGGGATAGATATTTATAGATTGCTAATACTTGACAATAGATGTCTTCGAAGCAGTGTTCGTGTTTTGGAAACACAAAGTAAGCAATGCCTAGGTTAGGCTTAGACCACAAGTTCAAGATGTCGATTCGGTTGGTGGGGTAACGAATTTTCATTATCTGACGTGGTTGGGACATGTGTTACATATACCCAGCTACTGCCTACCTCGACGGGTGATGTTGTTTGGTGTAAGGGTGAGCTGGAAGAATCCGAGGGACGGTCAAACCAAAACACCGCATCACTCCATGAAGTCACTAACAATTGGACTGACTTGTGTGTTAACAGGTGTAAAATACCTGATTGAGGCCCACATGATTTTCGTAACTAGTGGTTAGAGACGTAGAATATTGTGGCTCATAATCGTTTACAATAGTTCAAGTGTATTCACTCTTCATCTTCACTTAGTTTCTGAATCATGGAATATCTTTGTACTACTTTGTTTTACATCTAATCTTTTCTGCATTTACTGCTAATACTACCACCACTTTTAATAATCTGGAGCTTGTCTTGATAGATTTATCTTTCTGTGATAATGTCGAAACTTGAGTCGACGCATGTATTTGTCAGGTTCAATGTTCCATTTTACTGACTGACACAGAAGTTTAGTACATATAACTTCCTTTATATGATTGTAAAGCGAAAAAATAAATATATGTGCAGATCGACATGAATCTGTGTTAGTAATTAACATCAGTTTAGCGTCAGTCAGCCTGAATTAAAATTCAAGGCTGTAAAGAATTAAAGAGTTAATACAATAAGTAAGTTTAATGTTATCAGAATAAGGGGAAACTGTTGTATTTATTATGTCTTCCATATTCTTTGGGTTCAGTAGACGTTTAGTATTTTATACATCATTTAAATCACTACAAAATATTACAATTAGGAAATCATAATATCTACATAATTCGAACAAACTCAATGATAGTTCCTAATTATTTGAAGATAATTTAAGAAAGGTAGAACATATGATAATAGTTTGTAGATAGAATGAAAGCTTGTGACAAGAATTTCATAACTACACAATGAGATGGCATACAATAATTGTTCTTAGAATAATTCTAATATTTCCATCCATTAGTTGTCCCGATATATATATATATATATATATATATATAATATTTTATTGATGTCACGAGCAGATTCATTTTAATGAGCTTCTGGAAACGTGAAAAAAAGGAGGCTGCTTTATCCTAGTGTTACGGAACTCCTTGTCTGTAATCATCCGGGAGTCGAGTTTTGAACTTTCGGTATACACTGGTCTATCTCCAATTGATTCATTATATTTCACCAATGTTTTTAGTGGATTCGATTTCCGGCTACGTAATATCATGAATTGACTTAATTTAAACTTGTTTACAGTTGGATCGTGGCTCAGAGTGTCCAGTGGTCTAGTCTTTGCGTTTAATACCGAATGTTCTGTTTTCGATCCTCAGCCTTGTAAATCCTGACTGTTTTGTAGTACAATACTAGGACTAAATGCGTGTACAGTGCTTTAAGGCTTTCAGTGGTTTTCCAACTTAGATTGGTTCTCGATATCACCGAAATTGGACAAATCAACAATTCGCATGCTGATATTGAGTACTAATGATACTTTTATATTCCCTTATTTTATTTTTACAGTCTGTGGATGATAATTCTAATTTTCCTACTTCAGTTCATCCCGCTAACTTTGATGGAGACTTTACAGACTTTAATAATTCATCATCATTATCGTCAACAATGGCTACTATTCCATCAAGATATCGTAAACACTCAGTTAGTGGCGTTACTGGTGTTGGCGGTAGTAATTCAATTAATCAGAAATCAACATTCTCTCTAAAATCGAAACCTTCTGGTAAAAGTATAAAAAAGGATCCACAAAATTCCCCATCATCATCTTCACCATCATTAATAAATAAAATAAAGAATATGAAGTCTGCGAGTGGTGGCAGTGATGTTCCGTTATCTGATGAAGCAAGACTCTCATGGGCTATCATTGAAAGTCAACGTCTTGCACAAATCGAGGAAGAAGCTCGGAAACAAGAAGAAGCTGATCTCGAACTGGCACTTCGTCTAAGTAAACTAGATTCATCAAATCGACATTAAGAAACATAAAAAGAGTCGATTGCCACTTTTATTTCCATCTATGAAAACCTAGAAAATAACAGTCAAAAAACGTGTTGTCTTCTCATTCAATGATTTTATTACTCCATATTCATTTTTAATTTAGGTTGGGTTAACTGTTCAACTCCTTTTTCTTGCATATAAATACATGATTTTTTACGTACGAGACATACATCAATTTATTCGTTCTCTTTTTTTTGCTAATATGAATTAGAAAAAAAATAAAATTATAGAAAGGAGAGCTAAAGAGAAAAAAAACATGAATTTGTTGTCTCGATGAGTACAAATTCTGTTGAATATAAAAGTTGTATTTACAGTATTGTACACTGATTAATGTAAATCATTGCGGTTACATAGATGATTTGTCATATGTGTTATTTTATTTGTTGAAATATGGAATGTATTTGAAATGTTTGCTTAATATAATAATAAAATAGAAAAGATTATGTTGTACACAACCAAATACGTTTATATACTTATACAACGGTTACTTATAATAATAATATTATTAGTCTCTAGTTCCTTAAACTTCAAATTTTTACTATGAGTTATATAATTTATTATTTATGAAACAAGGTTTGCATAACATTTAACTTCATTATTACACGCATATACTTTGATTAATAATTACTTATTCTATGGATTGATTAAGAACTGTTGCATTGAATATTGTAGTAACGTTGGTTTTCAGAATAAAACTAATTATCTACGTATCTAATTGTTTCATTAAACCTAACATTGGTTGCACTTTCGAGACTAACACAATTTTCAAATATCAGAGGGGAAATCGGGTCTTTTTAACTCATGTTGCGACATGTAGTTCTACATCTCAGCGCTTTATATCAATCAATGTAAATATGTTTTGTGTTTATTTTGGGTCCTTAATTTGTTAACGTCATGTCATCGAGTCGGATATTGCAGTTAGTTGTGACATTTTTCAAAAAGTAGGTACACTCGATCACAAAACATCAGGTTTCATTGTTCATGCACCAACCTTAATAGATGACTACATGGTTGGCTTACAAAAATTCAGCACAACCGTTATTTTTGCTTCAGTTCATTATTCGAAACCATCCACATAGTATGGTTCTCAAATGGTATGTCTCAATACTCCGAGACTGTTAGCTATAGATATTAATATTGGTAATTTACAACGGAAGACCTATTGGTTTGTTGCACTGATGGATTGAATTATCTTTCAAGCTTCGCAAAAGTTTTATGATGTATAGGTTATTGACACTTGTACAAATTGTTTGCTGCATCTAACTATATAGCTTCCTACAGGTACAACATGTTAAAGATAATTTTGTTTTGGATGGAATTCTGTTTTTAACTCAATAATTCATTAAATGCATACTTTTCGCGATCCCCGTGTAATGTCTTAATTTCATGTGCATTTGGAGTTTTTTGCGAGTTATTAGAATTATCTAATCTGACAAACATATTTACTTTTTTATCTAAATTACGGAACGAATAAATGCTTTCCAAGATGGACCAGTAAAGTTAATTACTCCATTAGAATTACATGTGTTTATGGTCGAAAAGGCCTAACGACCAATATACCATTATTTAGTGAAAACGCAGTTCATCCGACTTAGTCGGATACCCATGTGAAGAATTTGCCAGTCATTCATAAAAAACTATATCGTGACACGGACTTCGTGCTTAATATTAGTGCTTCTGATGTAAAAATAAGTATACTGAATGCGAACATATGATACTAAACAAAAAAGCTTGCGCTATGATGTCAAATGTTACTGTTGCACGAAGTAGCATACTAAACACAAAAATGGCTAATGAATTGCTAACATATCAAGGAAGCAATGCAGAATTTCTTAACAAAGGATTTGTAGCGGTAAATAAATCCCCAAAATAAATAGCTCTGTAAGTTTTCGACATTGGATGCTGACCATATGTTTTGGTGGACTCATCTAGCTGAAGGCGCTCGGTCAGACATCCGCACCAGATCACGTGTGGTAACGCCGTGCTCAACATCAACCGCAATCGCTAGCCAGATTAGATCAGAGAATTCCGATGTATTGGTCATCGCCAAATATACTCTTCCGATATTCTCGACTCTGTCTTTTGATTTCTCTGGGTGGGAACGAAATACATTAGAAGGTGTTACTGGTAGAAGCGTTGTCAAACACTGAATACCTGTGACATCATCAGATTCGAATGGCAGTTCCTAGCTGGCAGCGAAACGACAACAATTTCCAGTCTCTGCGTGTTGTAATATCGAGTTTATTTGAACTAGGTATTACTTTCAATGGCTCGAGATCATTCAGCAATAAAAATTCCCAATTTCAACTGAATCAATGTATAAAGCCCAGATCAAAGAACATTAAGCGCCACAAAATAGTTTTTTCATGAGTTATGGAAAAAAGGATAAGATACAATGCACGAAGAAAGACTGACTAATATAACGTTCATGGAAAGAAATTGAGTAGGTCTTCAGAGAATTCCTTCTTCTACCGAATGTGTATAGATGAATGTAAGATGTATTTACGTTTCGCGGAAATGTTTATAGACATCTCGACATATGAGTGATCAAAAACCGTAGATGGTATTTGCGATTCTTGAACACTGTCATTTAGTAAAATGTGTAATCCCAGTAAAATATTGAGTCTTGTGTCTGAATTTATTTATTATCACCAACAATGTTGTTTACGATTAACGTTATGGTGAATACTCTGGGTTTTCTATGGTTTTGCAAGTCTCATTAAACTACTTCAGATTTTCAAATAATTGATATTATAAATTTAGGTTAACCAGGCCTTTCTTTTTGCATTTAAACTTAGGAATAAGACCGGATTTTGAGGCTCGTTTCGCAGATACTTCAAATTTGTTTAAACCCTTTGAAGTTAAAGAGGAATAGACAACGTTATGGTACTCTACTGGAAACTGACCTAAGTTTTTGAAATCATTTGAAAACGTTGTCTGTAACTTGATTACAATTGACTTTCCAGTTAATTATTTTCTGATCATTTAGGGTGTGAGTTCTCCTACGGACAATAGTGTTTCAAGCCGTAAGCCGTGCGCTTGTTTGGAATGATTTTACCGAAACTGTTCAGCTGTTAATCTCAGTTTAAGAACCAAGTTAGCATGAATTATGTACCTTTCGAATACTCCCAGTACTACTTTGTAAAATCAGTACCTAACGGGTCATTTCTAAACTGATTTTTCATGGTGTTAGCCATCCCTAACGGTATAAAAATATATTAGGAAATCTTTTGGTGTTATCTTGTCGTTTTTTAGTTCGCAGTGTTTGGAAAACGTTTGTAGTGCAGATATGCTAAAGGACTGATCTGAATGTTCCAGCTGCCTGACGTTCGTTGTTTAAAGTTTAGGATACACCAATATTCTACTCATTAGATTGGTGCATTGTTACACCATGGTATTTGTACGAACTAATGATTCCTTTGCATTTGATTACTCGCTTATAACGAATTCCAAATACAATACGTCCGTTTGTGTTCATTCGTTTCTGACAGGCTTAAATGGTACTGTTTAGGGAAATACTAGTTATTACAATAATTCGAATACTTCCAGTTATGATGAACATATTCAGTATTACGTCAAAATTTATTCCTGGTTCAGTGATTTCGCAACGGCTGTATATGCTTCTCTTGTATATTTAGAACGTCACGAGTGAGATGTTGAACTTTCAACACCTTGTCATTCTACAAGCCTAACTTTGTGCTACGTGTCCGTAGTTGTTTGATGTTTTCTGTTAATGAATGTTCACATGCTCAAAAATAATGAACGGCTTACGGGATAATATCATATGATGGTCGAAATAAGTCGGCAATTTGAAAAAATTACATTTCATAATAGATCAGTTTAGCTAGTGAAATTTCGAACATGTCATTAAATATATTCGCCGAAAGAGTTATTCTCACACAAACATGGAGGAACCAGAAGTGACCGCATCAAACTATGATTAACTCAGGGGTCCGAAAGTTTCAATAGCTGCTGAATAACTTCATAAAGTGTTTTATTGTTTGACGGAACTAAAGTTTACTTAATGAGAACGTCAAGACAGAATGCACTTAAGATAATTACCATTTCATTCAACAGACAAGACTGGCGCAGTTATGGGAGTTAAAAGACATATTGACGTTCGCCTTCACATATTCTGCGACTTTGAAGTTACTAGACACTAAAGTTGTGCTGTAAGATCAATTTTTTATGAGTCACAAAGAAATTGATTCTTATTGTTTAACGAGTGAGTATTAAATATCAAGGTTGTTGGTTAACCTTGGCGTGGCTTCCAACAAAGCCCATATTTATGGTACTTGTAGTTTTTATTTATATTTCAAGTCATCTAAATTTAGTATTGTGCTCTTATTTTGGAATTATATTTAAGTCTGTTTTATGATACCTTTTCGAGATGATTATTATACTGTTTTATGTATGTACTTTGTCTACTTTTCCCTTGCAAATATCTATACAATGGTCGGCTCACCGCATAAATGTTGGCATTCAAAGAGCTTTAATTCTGTGGATAGGGGGATGCAATGTCATGAGCGGAAAAAATGGTCTTGCAGAATCTGTAACCGTTTCAATCTCACTGCATACGAAATATACATGAAACCTAACTTCCATTGGCTCTATATGTTTTACTGTCCGACTCAGACGCTACAGATACAAAAGGAAACGAAGCTTTTAGCGTTGGCCAGCAATAAAGTTGGTTATACGTTGATTAGTAACATAAGTACTGACAGCAAATGTTGTCTCGGTGTGATAAGTGCTATTACGGGATGAACTAAACCCTCGACTGCGAGACATATATAAGGAAAATCCTTTACAAACGAATAGAAAGTGAAGTACCACTGGTTATTGTTCATCATTTTTTTCACAGACGTGCCTGAAGACCCAGATGAAACTTCCATCGTGTTAGGTAGTTCTAACGTAGTTGTCCTGACTGATGTGAAATGAACGAGAAAACAGCCATATAAAACACCTGTTTTGTTAATCAGTTTTTGTCGAAATCTCATTGTGAATCACAAAATATTCCACCATATCCCCAAGTAAGTCGTGACTGTTGTGTGACTGAAAAAAATCGATCTCACCCATTATTAGTTGAAGTAATTTCTCCACGTCAAACAGCTCGTATCCATAAACATCTAAAGAAAAGCTCAGTAGTTTGCAGGCAGGAAACGGCAGCACGATGGAAAGCCGTAAACATCACTTTCAAAAAAGTAAAATCCGTTCCTTATTTAATTTGAAATGTAATGGAGTAAAAATGTGACTTTACTGAAAAGCGTGCACACGTTCTTAATTTAGTAGGGTCTACCATCAGTAATGTATTGTCAAAAGAAGTTTTAGAAGTTTATATTACTAACGTAATAAGACTCGGGAGGTGGGTCAGAGGCAATATTCAATCAAGAAGGGACTTGAAAGGTAACAATCGAAAGTTACGAGTAAGGGAATGTTATACTACATAACATTCGAAACTCGTGATTTGAATTTTCGTATCCAACCAGGTCGTTTACTTATAGATCGAGTCAAGTAACAGAGCGCCCTTAATGAATTAAAAAACGTGGAAGTGATAAAACGAAACAAACCCTAAGATTGAGGGTTTTCCGGTAATCAAGTAAAAAAATGCTCTCGTGGTCTTCATGAGTAGAGCGAACGACTCTAAAAATACCTTAAATGCGTGCTACACACACCCTCATAGTCTTAGAAATAAAACGTCCGAAGCACGTTTGATGGTGGATGGATTAAGTCTCGATATAATTGTTGTCAAAGGAACGTGGCTCATGCTAGACCTGGAATGTTCTTCAATTACTGCGGGATACATCTATATTAGAATTGATAAATTTGTAGACCTCAAAGCGGCGGGCATTGTGTGATATATTAGAAGTTGCTAGCCTGTAAGGAAACCTGAAAACTGATGAGGCGTAGGAAGTAATTCTGGGACTTGTATTTATCGACAGGCCACGAATAATTTAAGTGTAAGTACTGGAAAATCCGGAATATTTGTTAAAAGACCATAACCAGATACCGCACCGCTTACGAAAGATAGTGAGAATATGATAGTCATGCCTGCCCCAAACGATTGTTTTCGTACACTGCTTACTTACACCTGTTACTCCCAACAGAGCATAGACCGCCGACCAGCATTCTCCAACCTACTATGTCCTGGGCCTTTCTTTTTGCTTCTATCCAACTGTTGTTCATTCTTCTCAAGTCTGTCTCCATTTATCGACGTAATGTGTTCTTTGGTCTTGAGAATTCCATGTGAGGGCTTGCCTTGTGGTACATCTGAGTGCTTTCCTCAATGTGTGTCCTATCCACTTCCAGCGCTTCTTCTTGATTTCTTCCTCCGCTGGGATCTGGTTTGTTCTCTCCCACAGTAGGTTGTTGCTGATAGTGTCTGGCCAACGGATCCGAAGTATGTTGCGTAGACAGCTGTTATTAAACACTTGTATGTTCTGGATGATGGCTTCCGTAGTCCTCCAGGTTTCCGCCCCATACAGTAGAACTGTTTTGACATTTGTATTGAAAATTCTGCCTTCGGTGTTGGTTGACAGTTGTTTTGAGTTCCAGATGTTCTTCATTTGTAGATATGCTGCTCTTGCTTTGCCGATCCGCGCTTTCACATCTGTATCAGATGCACCGTGTTTATCAATGATTCTGCCCTGATATGTAAAGGTTTTTACATCTTCCTAATCTTCTCCATCAATTGTGATTGGATTGATGCATGCTGTGTTGTATCGGAGAATCTTGCTTTCCCTTTGTGTATGTTGAGACCTACTGCTGCTTAGGCTGCTGCTACACTGGTCGTCTTCTGTGTTTCTCGTTGCGTGTTTGATAGAAGAGCCAGATCATCTGCGAAGTCTAGATCGTCCAGCTGCTTCCTAGTTGTCCACTGTATCCCATGCTTCCTCCCAGATATTGACGTCTTCATGATCCAGCCGGTCACCAGGAGAAAGAGAAAGGGTGATGGTAAGGAACCTTGCCTGACACCAGTCTCTACTTCGAATGAGTCTGTGAGCTGTCCTCCATGCACGATCTTGCAGTTTAATCCATCATAATAATTCCGTAGGATATTGTTTATTTTCTGAGGCATGCCATAGTGGCGAAAAAGCCTGAATAGTGTTGTTCTATTCACGCTACCAAATCCCTTCTCGAATTCAACGAAGTTGATACAGAGTGGTGAATTCCATTCCATTGATTGTTCCACAATGATAGAGTGTTGCGATTTGGTCGATAGACGATTGATTCCTATGGAATACAGCCTGTTGATCTCGAAGTTGAGCGTCTATAGAGTCCACATTCTGATTAACAATACCCTGTTGAAGACTTTTCCTGGTATTGGGAGAAGAGTGATGTCTCTGCAGTTCTCACACTTGCTGAGATCGCCTTTCTTTGGTATCTTGATGAGATGTCCTTCTTTCGAGAGTTATGGTCACCTGACCGAGGATTCGAATGCTTTGACGAGTTTTGTCCGATTTTATAAGCCACCTATGTAAGACCACATCTTGAGTACTGTGTCTAGGCAGCCATCCATTTCTTATTAAGGATACTGACACGATCGAGAGTGCTAGGCGTGTGGGAAAAAAGTCAGTGAAGGGTCTTTCCAAATTTCTTTTACGATAAGCACTTAAAGCGCCTGAACTTTGTCGCCTTATCGTATCTTCAGACGCGAGGTGACATGTTATTGGTATTCCATATCTTTTATAATGTCTTGGATGTTTGTATGTCTTATACTTTTGCTCCTTCCAGAACTAATCATCTCCAAGGCCATAGCAAGAAGGTTCAAAAACCGCGATTTCAGAAAATTAGAGTAGGGTTCCATTTTTGTCGTCGAGTAGTCAATGACTGGGACGCCTTACTTGAACAAGTGGTATCAGCACCATCAGCGAACGTTTTCAAAGAGAAGCTGAACTTTCACTAAAATACAAGCTGCAAGGGTTAACACAGGTCTACCAACCTACTATCTTGGTTATTGAAGACTGAATTGACTAAATTCGTTCTACAATCTCCTCGTAAATATTTGTCGACATTTGTATTATATTCTTCAGAATCAGATGGCCACCATGTGGAGTCAGTAAGTTGGTAGTGCGGGTTTTTTATTTCTGGCCTTAAAATTTACTCTTGATTTCTTGTTATTTTCGTATAGACAATGGCATAGACTATTGTGTACTTGAAAGTGATTTTTTATACTATTTTTTAAATCTGGTTCTTCCTGAATGAATGATTTTGAAGGAGGTCTCTGGTACAGCTAGTTGGCCAGAATAAACTAGTTGAGCTTTTACTGACTGTATCCAGGCAGGGTAATGGTCAGAAATGCTCCCTGCTAAAGTCTGCTCTGTGTGATTGATATCATCCATCAGTTCGCCTGCCCATGTGGGGTTCTTTATTTATTTATTATTTATTATTTGAACACATAAATATTGGTACAAAGGGGCATCGAATACATATGCGCCACACATGTCACCTGATTTGTGTGTGGGCTGTGATACTGTCCGGATGCCCAGACCGAAGCAGGTGGTTTTCTTAGGGTGGTACACCCAGAGCCTTCGACTTACAAGTCTGATCCACAGGGCAGTGGGGCAACGTCAGGAGAAGCAGTCCCATGGTAGTCGGTGACCAACAATAGGGTTCACATGCCATTTGTTCCTTCAGGGTTCTGGAACCCATGTGTACCATTGGTTTGGAATTACGGTTTTCCAACTCCCCTAGGTGGACACGGAGGGTCTACCAACCCGTTAATCTGCCGAACATCCGCTTTTCGCCATCTCAATTTTGTAAGCAACACCTTTGTTGCAAGAAGTCAGTGACTAGGAATTCCCTGGTAGTGGCTGTTTACATGCGGCCATGTGAGACCATTCGCGATGGAGAGCTAACCCTCCTCGCCCTCGGCCATACCATTACATTTGGGGGTCGTCAATGTCACTAAAAGTTGGTTGCTCAATATCACAAATTGGTTGGATCTAAAGTTGCAAACAATTCCATTCCAGCTCAGTTGTTTAAATGTTAAGAGCTCACTACAAAACGCGTGCGTCCTGGGTTTTTTACTTGATAAAGTGGTGAACAGACACCGCTGAAGATTCTATACTAGGTCAAAACAGCTGTTCATTGCTTTCTGGTCTTCAGTGGTTATCCAATGAATGTCTATCCCCAATGTAAACTATTACACTAAGAGCAAATTAGTCTTATCCAATTCAATGCCACCATCCGCATAAGTATACACATTAACCTCATAGAAATGTAAGGAAGCTCAGTTGACTTTCGACATCAAAAGTACCTCGATTAATTTTCTGTGTCATATAGTTGTCTCTTATCGAGTCATTGGATTAAGAGCTGAATACTTAAGGTTGGTGAATCATATAGATGTTTTGGAACATCACAGTCACTTATCTACTACGACACTTGTTTATAATAAGATTTACAGGGTATATGTTTATTTTATCTAAAAAAATTGGTAATTTAAATGTCACGACATACATCAAACTAAGTTTGAATTTTAACCTGATAGCATATGTTAACCAAATTTACATGAAGCAGTCAGTTTTTTCTAAAAGTTTTTATTTTACAAACATTTCAAACAAGTCATTGAAAGGTTTTATAACAGCAATATTGTGAAGGATAATATATATATATATATATATATATATATATATATATATATATATTTTTGGCCCAACCACCCATACTTGTGGTGTACTAAATTTCTTGCACCCATATTCTATTAATGGTAGCGTAATTAAATAATTTTTTTCTTAAATTAGTCACTACAAAGGTAATACTTGTACTTCGAATGTATCCCCCAGTAGTCATACTTTTGTCATGAAATCAGTGCATCGGGACTAATTTTAAATATCTTCAAGAAGTGAAAGTTACGTTACATCGACACAAACTTTTCACTGATCTGTTTTTAGTCGGTTTTATGTATTTGGCTAATAATATAAAATCCTATAGAAAATTAAACAACAGTTGGAAGAAGAATGCTTTCTATTCTCTGTTCATGTTATTAAAAAATTTCACGTTTGCCTTGTATTGTATAGACAATTTGGCCCATTGCACATTTTTGTCGTGCCCTATGTTAATTACAACTGACTATCACCTGGCTGTTTCTGAACATTTTTGTCATATTTTTTTCCTTTGACGAAATAATGGTCTTTATCACCTTAAATTAATTCTAAACATATTGATAATTTTTGGATCTGCTTTTAAAATTTACCCTTCATTAGGTATGGTAGTAGTCATTATTATTATTTTATTTAAGTCACTATAAAGTCAACCCAAAGGTTTAATTATTATTACTGTTTGATCATTGCTAAATATAGTTCTTAGTTTGTGGGAACCTGGATATTTGATATTTAGAAAAACTCCAAAATGTTTACTATCAACTATCCTACTTTCTTTCTCTTACCAGAACCGAAAGACATAAATGGGTGTGCCTTCTGTTTATTGGTGCAGTTGGCCTCTATGCTTCTAGGGCAGTAATGCCGATTGCTTCCGTTGCTATTGCCTCAGAATTGAATTGGAATCGTAAGGAAATGGTAAGTCTGAAGGAAGTTTCAATAAAACTAGCAATTCTTAATAAATGTTTGCAAGGTTGCAATTATCTTCGCAATCAAATTGATGAATTGCTGATATGTTCGACCGTTTAACCTTTTTACAAATAAAAAATAAGACGTTTCGGTTGTTATGGAGTGGTTTTAATTAATTTGGATAACCCAAAAAACTTGGTGAGAAAGTTACTTTTAAACATTTGGATTACTTGTAGTTTTATCATATAAAGAATAGAAAAATTGATCTTGAAATATGATGGTTCAACCGATTAGTGAATTCCTTCTGCCAAATGTACCGTATGGGGTATTGCTTTCAGCTGGCTAGCTTCTCCACTTTAGTGCTGAAAACCGGCAAACCTATTCTCTTTACTGTACCGTCGCTTTATTGGTTAAAGTACTTGAATGTGAATCATTCGTTTTTAATTTTCGGTTGTAGTTTATCTGTCAGGGATTGGTCAGCTGATTAGCTACACTCGCCTTCACAAAGTGGGTATGGCTAAAAACGGGGAACACACTTCTTTGCTTGATTGGTAGGTTGTGCTAAACCTCTTAAACCGGAAATGCGGCATAATATAATAGGGGTCTGGTCTGTCTTTCGAGATACTCTTTAATGATAAAGCGCTTGCGAACTTCGTAAGAAAATTGCTTCTCTTCATTCATGCGGCAGGGTTGTCATAAAAATCAGCAAAGACGGCTCTCTGACATTAAACATAGGTCTGTGAACGTGTAAGTTGCATCCATCGGAGTTGGACAACTCTGATTCTAGATTAGTTGTGTATGCAAACTTCAATAATCTAAGGGGAAGAAATGCTCATTAGTTCTGATCTCAATCAGCGACTCACATATGTAAAAATTCCTGTCTTACTTGAGTAGTTTTCATTTTATTTTATTTGATATCTGTTTCAGATATTTTACTAAAAATGGTTAATAAATAAAGAGAATGTAATTCATAATTGAGGCAAACACATCACTGTGTCTATTAAAGTATTCTTACTACTATGGATTTAATGCCTTAGTGTCTTACAAGAGGGTTACCAGATAATGATCTAAAGCAACTTCTTTTATGTGATACCACTTTTTCTACAGGGTTTCATGATGGGCATCTTCTTTTGGGGCTACGCTGTTACACAGTACCTGGGTGGTTATCTAAGTGATGTGTTTGGTGGAGAAATTGTAATTGCAATCAGTTCTCTTGGTTGGTCTATACTAACCGTTTGCTTTATATGGCTCCCAAGTATCAACCTGGGCTCAAATGATATATATGGGCTTTTCATAATTACTCGCTTTTTACTTGGGATATTTCAAGGTAAGTTTTATGTATAATTGCGTTCCTGATATTGTTTGTTTTCGAGTAGAAGAAGTTTTAGAACGCAAGTATTTAAGTTAGCCCATCTTACATAGCTTTCTATCCGATTGTTCTGTTTAGTGCTTATACCTTCTTAATGTTAGACGTTTATTTTCTTACTTTCAAAATACATTACCTGTTGTATATAAAGATTCATATTTAAATGATGAATTTCCAATAAATTTGTCATACCGTTGTGCAGATATTCCATAAATTATGTACTAATATAATATTGATATTTTCCTATTTACCAAGCAGAACAGATCATTTACACTATTGTCACCTGTTGGGTGTGGTCTGTGGATATTTTTTCTATCCGATTCCACATTAATGGGTTTTTATTCACAATGTCCATTGGCTTTGGGGAATGTTCATATTGTGTGTCTAGTCATTACCAACTTCAACGTCTCGTGCTGTATGGAATACTATGTAAAGTGTCAGGGTGATTAAATAAATACATACAATCAAACCCTTAGGTTTTTAGTCGATAATTCGTATCATTTAGCAAGATTTTAGTCTTCTGAATGAAGGTTCTAGAAAAAACTCAATCATCCAAATATAACCTACAACTAGAAGGTCTTATTGTTTTACATTTTCCATACATTGTACTTACCCATCTACCTTACCTTTCCCCCTACTTTATTACTGCTTACTAAGTATTTATCTTTGGTTCTTCTCTTCTTGATTTTCCCACCTTATAATGATGTATTGTGTAATAGCTTGCGTCACCATGCAGCTATACTGTCGTTTTTCTATCCCTGTCGACTTATTTTTAGTGAAACTAGTGTCTGATTTGGATGAACCTCTTACAGTTTGAACAGAAGTATTTCAAAAGTCAGTTTATCGGTTCAGTATCTGTTCAACAAAATAGTGTTATGCATAACTGGTTTAGTTCATAGAAATGCGATTGATATGAGTAAATAATAGTTTGAAAATTTTGAGTAATACGGCCTAAAAATCTTTCCACCCGGTACAATTCACTACGTTTTGTCTGAATGCTCCATATACTGTTATCCTACTTCTATCACTAGTTTTTATTATTATATCTTTTTCGGATGTCACATATGTCTAATCAACCCATATTAGCTCGTGTAGAATTAGGTTGGGAAAAAGCTTGGATGGTCAGATTAAAATATCTTAACAGTGCATGAAGTCTTCGAGTATATTGTCCAACTGCAGCCTTTTTATGTGTCCCCCTTTAGTATTCTATCTTCTCTTGTTCGTTTGTAGATGTCTAACAAGAAGAGTAGATGGAACACTTAGAGTAGGATACATAGAAAGTTTGAATTCGGACAATACACTCATTTCTATAGTACTGTACCAATCAGTTATAAGAGGAGTTTGGTAAAGATCGTAACACATCGTGCTAGAAGGATTCTCTCTGATGAGCTGAATAATATTCGTAACCTGCTTAGTAAGAACGGATATCCAATGAAATTCATCAACAAACATGAATGATATGGAAAAAAGACCAAATGTATCTACCATTCTGAAGAAAGTACTGTTCTTAACTTTACAATTTTTAAATGATGCTACCGAAGAAATTGTAACTCAAGAACTAAGAAAGGTGGTCCAAAAAACATTTACTCTAGTTAGATTTCCCTGAATTCTCTACATCCATGTGTGTTCAGCAGTTCCACCGCTCCTTTGGAGTCAGTTATATAGAGCTTACAGTTCGCCAAGTCCGTCATCGTATAACAGAACACCATCCGTCTTGATTGAGCAAAGGACAGATAAAAGTGCTTAAGTGTTCCTTTCTCGTTTACTTGGTGGACACAGGTCACCACGTTGGATTGAATAATGCTTTTAAGGTTATCTACCATATTACATGGAATTTAACACATGGTTTACGAGTTCGTCTGTTGCGTATTGCTGAAGCTGTTGGAATCCGTGTTCACAAACTTGACTTGGATCCGATGGAAGTGTTTACATCCACTCACGCTACCTTGGCGATCGGTTTAGTGTTTAGCTGAAGTCTAATTAAAACTTTTTCTTCAAAAATATTTAAACAATGTTCCAATTTCTTATACTTTTGTATTTTTTACATAGTACCAACATTAATCTCTTGATTCTCACATAACTACTATATTACCAAACTTTTATCGAAATATTTTGTTAGTTCTTTTTATATACTATGCAATGTGATAACTGTTTGATTTTCCGAATAATTACCTTGATTGTTACAATCCTCTCTCTTCCAATTACTTAACATTACTTCATAATTAAGGTGATATTATATAAGTATTGCATAACACAACTGCTGGATGGGTGTTATTTCATTGTTGTAAATCATTGTAATTGGTATATAAGAGATTATCGTAAATGTTTTTTGAATTCTAATGGGTCTTGATCAATAAACTTGCATAAGTCAACTGGAGTTCTTACTGTAGTTAATCGAGAATCAAAGTAGTCTCTTTCACCAATGACCACCGTATTGAAGTTAGAGTTGGAATAGTGTAGCTTAGGGCGCCAACGTATAAATCTTAAGTACGACTGACTGTGTTTTTTTCATAACTTGTTTACCCTGCATTTCTAAAGTGCGTGATAATTAAAGTCATGTAATTGTTGTCTACCAAGCTTTATCTTGATACATAGTAAAATAAAGATTTCATGTGGTAATATCGAATAAAATATACTGTATTAGACATACCTATACATTATCGTAATATTTTGTGATTTGGATCGAATTTAGTCTATAGGTAAAAAAAATCGCTTAACAGTTATACTTTCTCAGTCAAGTTTTACCACGGCAACTCTGCTTTTATTTCAAAGAGCTGACTGTTTCAAAGGTGGAATTGTCCCAGTTCTAGGGCCATGGTTACTTTTTCCTTGGTGACATTATTCAAATTTTATGTTATGTTATAATCGTTCATTTATGACATGCTACTATGGTTATATTTGAATAATTGTACTCCACCCATGTTGCTATGGTAATTGCTAACTTCCTGTGCCTTCTTTATTGGGACAATTAATTTTTTCGTGTGACCAACTATGTATAGTCTGATTTTCTTATTATTATGTATGTATTATATAATTCGGTTGTGATGTGAACAAAGAAACAAGAAGCCTTGACAAACTACGGAAGCTGATTTTGGGAATGATATTTCATTTAATTCAAGGCTTGTAAGGCACTAAAACTTATTTTTGTTTTTAGTTTATTCTACAGACCAAAGGCTTAATTTTGATGTATCATTCACTGCCATAACCTTTTTCGTTCCAAAGCTATTGTAATTTAAACATAATACTTTGTACTATTTTCTACCGTGATACCCATTTTTGGGACGTGATTGTATTTTTCCTAATTTTTTGTGCATTGTGGTATGGTTAGTCATCTGTTTATTCATTTATCTTTTTTACACTAATCTGAATCGGGAACCAGATCGGAATCGGGAATAAATCGAGTAGTGTTCCAATTGACTTGTCTTCTCTCTTTCTCTCGTGCTTGTCAGTCAATCAGGTGACAGAATAATTTTAGTCTCTACCCTAAGCAGTTAGTCTCACTTCGAACTCTAGCTTCAAGGTTAAATCAGTCATCCTATCGCTTCAAGGTCTTAATCTAGACTTAGACAAGTTATCCTCTACATAGTAGTGGGTAGACGGATCAAGGACATAACGGAGTGTAAATTGTACTGTTTCGTTATGTTGACTGTTATGTCATTTATTTACTTTTCTTTAATCAATGGAAAGAAATTTGAACATTTTAACTTTGCAACTTTTAGACGTGCTTCTCTTTTTACATAACTTTTCGTTTTGATGTATTGTTACGATGGGCAGAATTGGAGAATGTTTGACTGATTACGTTTCAGCTTTCATATATATTTTTGGTTAATCACTTGGGCCTTAATAAAGTTGATGAAGGACAATATTATCGGTTAGAGATATCCATCAAAATAAAATTAATTAGTCAAAGTATATATTGTTAGTAATAAGTAAAAACAATCTCCGATTTATTTCTTTATACAACTGCTATCAAGTAAAATGTAATTTAAGACAGTTTAACCAGTGAAGGTACTGTGTCTACTTTGGTTTTCAAACCTACTAAAAAACGGTTATCACCTTTAATAGTGATATCACGGAATGTAGGCACTCATAAATTTGAAGTGGACCTTGTAAAAATAAGGCATGCTTTAATGTAAATGTGATAGTGTGGCGCATATATATTGGCGCTCTCTTGTACCAATATTTATGTGTTCAAATAAATAAATAAAAAAATGTGATAAAATGATGACAATTATGAAAGTTAAACAGCATGATATTTTTATAGTTAAGATACTAAATTATATCTTTTATGTCAAAACAGTTGTTTGACATCATTTAAGTTGCTTTTTTCTTACTCTAACACACCATTTGATAACAATTATACAAAATTAACAAACTCTCCTAATATTTATCTGTTTACCAAACTTTCAGGATTTTACTATCCAAGTTTAGCAAGTTTAATGGCCAATCGTGTTCAAGTATCCAATCGAAATATCACTTTTGCTGTGATAACTGCTGGTACACATTTGGGGTATGTATTTATTGACATTTTTATGAATCTCATTTTCGCAATTTGTAGTATAATAGCCTTTAAAATCTTTTAAAACCGTGTTTTATTTCAAATCACTATTAACTATAGACTTCTAGAAAACGGATTAATATAAATTTACTCAACTGTGTTTACTTACTTACGCCTGTCCTCCCAACTCCCACGAAGGAGCACACGCCGCCTTTATGTACGTTGAGGCCTACTGCTATAGGGGCTTCCGCTAAACTGTTTGTCTTGACCTGCATTTGTTGGTATGTATGAGATAGATCTAGGTCATCTGAGAAGTCCAAACTGTCTAGTTGTATCTAACCTATCCATTTTATTCCGTGCTTCCTGTCAGATATCGAGGTCTTCATAATCCAGTCAACCACCAGAACAAAGAGAAAGGGAGAGAGTAAACAGCTTTGTTTACCTCCGGTCCCTACTTGGGATGTGTCTGTCAGCTGTCATCTATGCAGCACTTTGCACTGTAGTCCGTCGTACGAATTCCGGATGTTGACAACCATCTCAGGTACACCATAGTGTCGAAGTTTCTATAGTGTCCTATCCACACTGACAAACGCCTTCTCATAGTCAATGACGTTGACGTATAGTGACGAGTTCTACTAAACTGATTGTTCAACAATTATCCGTAGCGTCACTATTTGGTCTATGTACGACCAATCCTTACGAAATCCGGTCTGTTGTTCTCGAAGTTAGGCGTCTACTGAATCTTTCATTCGGTTCAGCAACACTGTTGAAATCTCTTTCTGGTACTGACAGTAGTCCACTCAACTGAAGTAGAGTTTAATTCAATAAAATGGTGAATCGTTGTGTAACCTATCAATCTTTTTAACAAAATCTGCGTATTGAGGTAAAGCAGGAATGGTTATTACTATTGTTATCAATAATTTATTCAATCTAAGATGGATAGTACTACATAAAATTCTCAGAATAGACTTTTAATAAGTTTCTTTCACCAAAATAAATCGATAACTGGATACATTTATGCATGAAATAAGTAAGCAAATTGGTGTGGATCAATATGCTCTTTTAATGCGGGTTGAGGTGGAAGTAGCAATAGTTTTTCCATTATTTCGAGTAGTGAAGTTACTCCTGTGGGTTTAGATTTTCCATTTTTATTCCTAAATACTTTCTTAGTTATCAGAATTATTTTAATCTTTCTCCAAATTGCCTTCATCCACATATTTCTCCTTGCATGTCTCATGGTAGAACAAGACATCAATAAATTAGAATCCATGCACGCAAGCAAAGGTATAAAAGTTCTACAATACCTAATCTATTAAACATACTATGTGACGAATAAATTGTTAGAGCTGGCCTAGTCAATAACTTGTGCTCTTAAATGTGCTGCTAATTAAACGTTGTACAGATTCTAATCTTATTAAAAAGCATCTGATTAAATTCCAGATAATTTATTTACTTATTTCATAAATAAATGTATCCAGTTATCGATTTCTTTTGGTTAAAGAAACTTATTAAAATAGTCTATTTTGAGAATTCTATGTTGTACTATGCATATTAGATTGAATAAAGCCATTTGTAATAGTTATGTTGATCGTAATTATAATACAAAATTGCTCATAAGATACTTATTTACATAAGATGCAGGTAATTTTGCCAGACTGTTTCGTTGAGAACTAGCTGTTAATAATCATTTATTGTTGATAATAAATGTAAACCTGTAAGGAATCTTTTAGAATACAATAAAGTGATTATTTCTATGGGCTGTCCAAGATATATATGTTTCTGATCCTCAGCTACTTACAGTTAAGCTTATCTACCCAAATAATTTAGATAGTGAAAGGTCATTGCCTAAATTGCTTAATTTAGAAGGCGCTGGTCATTCAATGCATTCTGGTTACGTTAGTCTTTCTGTAATTAATATTAATTCATGATAATTTCCTCAAAAATATATCCCGTTTGCGATGAATTTGCTATTAATGTGATTCTCGTCTATTTTCTTAGTACAAATAATAAGTACTCTGTAGGTGTTAGGACAAATTTGGTTATTGGATATCTGCTGGGATCACCGGGTAAGTAATAGTGAGGTTAGACGCAGGGTATTAGGGAATGATGGTAAATCAGTTGATCAGGTTATGAATCTTCATCGACTGAGATGGTTGGGCCACGTGTTACGTATGCCTGAACACCGACTACCACGACGTGCAATGCTAACCGGTGTAGGGGATGGTTGGAAGAAAGTTAGGGGCGGCCAAACCAAAACGTGGCATCAGTGCTTGAAGTCACTAACTTCTAGTCTGAGCCATGTTGATAGATGCAGACTACTTGGTTGGGGTCCGCGTGACTTTCGTAACCAATGGTTGGAGACTCTTGGTGACATGGCTCAGAATCGATCACAATGGCGTCGGTGTATACACTCCCTGTCTTCCCTTAAACTAAGAGATTAAAATCACTTCATATCTTTCTTTCTACGAACCAATTCTTTCTTCTTGTACTATATCTCTATGTGAAATCTTTCTCTTATATATTATCACCTTTGACCTAACCACTGCTGTGAATCCGGTGTTCATCTTGTTGTGCTGATGCGGTATGGCAACCTGGACCGATGCACATATGTGCCTGATCCTACGTTGTAGCTGACTGACTGACCTGATTGGATATATTTCTGTAAATTTTTCAAATTCACAATTATTTATACGCAATGTTCACTTTTTAAGGGTTATAATGAAGGAATAATAAAGAATATGTAGTAGTAGGTTGGAAGAAAGCTACAGGAAATCAACCTAAAACATTCCATTATTCAGCAAACGCATTGAATGTTGGTTTGAGACATAGTTGTATATATAGACTATCTGTTTGAGGTTCGTAAAATAACCATAAACATTTGTTAGAGACTTTAGATTACATGGCTCAGAAGCGATCACAATAACACAAATGCATTCACTCTTTATCTTCCTCTTAATCATGTATATCTTCCCACCCCGTCTTTTCAAACCATATTCCCAAGGTTTGAATGTCTTGTGTATCGTTGCTACTACAGTTCCTATTGTTTTTGTGATTTATCTTGTTATTCTCATCTCGTCTTTGTTATTATTATTATTATTATTATTATTATTATTATTATTATTATTATTATTATTATTATTATTATTATTATTATTATTACTGTTAATGGCTTTATTCAATATTATATTTTGGTACAATACAGAATTCTCAGCACGAGGTATTTCCGCAAGTTTCTTTTACAAAAACAAAAAACAACAAAAAAGGAAAAGATGAAAAAATATCAGAATCTGTACAACTTTTCAAACTAGAGACATGTTTAAGAATTCAGGTTATTGACTAGATAAACTCTAACAACCCATTCGTCACAAAGTATATTTGCTAGGTAAGATATTATGGAACTTTTATACCGTTGCTTGAGCGCATGGGTTTTAATGTATTGACGTCTCGTTCTACCAAAAGATACACAAAAGAAAGTTATGAATGAAGGGAATAATTAGGATCTGAGAAGATAACACTTATCAGAAGTTTGCAGGAGTTTGGATGTTTACCCATAACCATTTTATTAATGACCTCAAACGATTCACCACACACCTTGCCAACTGCCTTCAACACTCTCGTTAATACAGTAAAAAATAATAGGTAATATGCATATATACAGTGTGATCATCCACATATTTCACAAAAGTATTTTCTGTGGAGGATGGAAGATCATACAGAAAAAAAGAGAAGAGGTGAAAGAAAAGCTCCTCATGGCATACCTTCATGAGACAGTAGGGGCGTTGAACACTTTCCTCCAAATGCAGAGTACTGTTCCCTTCCAGAGAGGTAGGAACATAGTCAATTGGTTATCTAGCTGTCAGTGTTGCCGCTGATTACCTTGTTGCGTAAAATCAAAGACAGAAGCCGAACACTGTATTGTGATGCAGAACAGCAATGTCAACTAAGGTGCTTCTTTTGCATGTGTAAGCAAACTGATACGGATCAATGTGCTCTTATATCGCAGGTTGAAGTGGAAGTATCAATAATTTTTCCATTGTTTTAAGGAAAGGTGAAGTTACTGCTATGGGTCTAAATTTCACATTTTTATCACCAGATACTTTCTTAGGTATAGGGATTATCTTTATCTGTCTCCACATTTTCGGTATGAGATTACTTGAGAGGGATCTGTTAAAGATACTCGTGAATGGATAACATAGAGCGTCAGCATGTTTTTTTATAGAAGAGGTTTGGGATACTATCAGGTCCTAAACATTGGGATGAATTCAGTAACTGGAGACATCTTAGGACATCAGTTTCAGTGAAACTAGGAACACAACTATTCTTTAAACTTGTGGATATAGGGAGCATTACATCAGATGACAAAGGACTTATTTAACCCACAAACATTCAGCCTGTCACCTGTAAGTTCTTTAAAGAGTTTCCACATACTTGGAGAGTATTTACAAGACAGAAGTTTTTGATTAAACATAGAGTTGAGACGTCTAATCTCTAGGTTTATTAGGCCATTTACCTTACGAACTTCAATAGAGTTTTCCTCCTTGTAGATTCTTTCTTTCACTCTCCGTAGTCGTTTTAATTGTGAAGATTTAAGTCGATCAAGACTTACAAAAATGGTTTCAGTGAGACAACAAATATCAAAACAGATTATAAGGTAACAAGTGATAACATCAGTAGTGTTTCCCAGTGAGTCATCTATAAATAATTTTTAGTTAGTCGTACGAAGCATGCTTTTTCAGATTTCGAATATTTTCTGAGTAATTCATATATTTGACTTTCTTGGTTTGATGTAAGAGTTTACTCGTTCCATGCTTTCTATATACTTTAGGTAGAACACGAATTATACAGTGGTCCAAGCTAGCAAATGGAGTACGTTTACGAGTCACATATATACCCACGTCATTAACGAAAAAAAAGTCTAAATGAGCATTCAACCGTGTAGGAAAATATACTACATTTTGTTGACCTAGTGATGTAAGGAAGCGACAGTCACATGAATTGAAATCATCACATAC